TACCTCATCATGGGGTACTGAAGGACTCTAGCACGACCAATTTAAGGACAGTGTTTGACGCCAGTAGCAAAACCAGTTCCGGTCACTCCTTAAACGATATTCTTTTGACAGGACGTAAATTACAAACTGACATTTGTGACGTAATTTTGAACTTCCGCTCTCATAAAATTGTGTTTTCATGTGACATTCGGCAAATGTACCGCCAAATACAAGTGCACCCTGACGATCAAAAGTTTCAACTGATTATGTGGCGTGACGACCCTTCAAAGGAAATCTCTACGTTTCAACTTACTACCGTCACCTACGGCATGAACAGCTCCCCCTACCTTGCTATTAAAACTTTAATGCAGTTAGCGGAAGACGAAGGTGATGCCTTCCCTCAGGCTTCTCACTCTCTACGTCATCACACCTACGTGGACGACATTATCACGGGTGCTGACTCCGTTGAGGCTGCTCTTGAACTACAGGACCAACTTATCCAACTTCTACATCGTGGTGGCTTTGAACTTCGCAAGTGGGCCTCCAACTCCTCTGCTCTTCTAGAAAAATTTCCTTCGGAACATCTAGAGACTCCAAGTTTCCTGCAAGACGCTCAGCTTCCCCAGTACTCCATCCTAGGTCTCCATTGGTCTCCTGAAGAAGACTGTTTCTGTTACGCTTTCAACCCCCCGTCTGAAAAGCTGACTAAGCGCTCCGTGCTCAGCTTTATTGCCAAACTATATGACCCCTGTGGATTTTTGTCCCCATTAATCATGGTAGCAAAATGCTTCATGCAATTACTATGGACTCAAGGTCTTGATTGGGACGACCCTCTCCCTTCTGATCTAGCACATAAGTGGCATGTGTTCACTAGTAACACTAAAGACCACCTCGGTCAAATTAAGATCCCCCGAGCATTTCCGCTCGCTCACTCCTCTGATATCGAGCTTCACGGTTTCTGTGATGCATCGGAATGCGGTTATGCCGCGGTAGTGTATTTCCGGTGTGAATCTAGTGACAAAACAGTCATTGTGAAACAAATATTGTCTAAGACTCGTGTTGCCCCGTTAAAAAAGGTAACTTTACCCCGCTTGGAATTGTGTGCAGCTCACCTCTTATCAAAACTAGTGCATTATTGTGAAAAACAATTTAACTCTCTTACTACGAATACCACTGTATTGTGGAGTGACTCATCTGTAGTTCTTACTTGGCTACAAACCCCTCCATACAGACTAAAGACCTTTGTGGCTAATCGTGTAGCCCAAGTGCAAGAAATCATTCCCAGTTATCAGTGGCGGCACATAAAAGGGACGGAAAACCCCGCTGATTGTGCCTCACGAGGAATTCTAGCCTCATCTCTCATTGACCATCCCTTATGGTGGACTGGCCCACCATGGTTACAGCTCCCTGCGGCCAACTGGCCCCCCTCATGTTTTTCGCCGTCTGAACTCACTCCCACGGACGAAATTAAAGAAACTCCTCTTAGTGTACTTAGTGCAACAGTCGCCCCTTCGGAATGGGACTTATTGTCTAAATATTCATCTTGGTTGAAACTAACCCGTGTGCTAGCTTATGTACTACGATTCATAAACTATTCCAGGTCTAAAAACAAACTCTCTGGACACTTAAAACTCAGTGAATTAAATCTAGCGGAAGTGACAATTTTTAAACTAGTGCAAAAACTCCATTTCAGTGCGGATATTAAATTATTGAACAAAGGCTCAATATGTTCTGCACAATTACAGAAACTCACCCCCTTCCTCGACCCTAATGGTCTCATACGCGTCGGTGGCCGATTGTCACATTGTTCGCTTGCTCATGACATACGTCACCCTATTGTTCTACCCAAGTCTCATACTGTAGTGAATTTGCTTATAGACTTTTACCACCAGGTACACTTGCACTCAGGTCCGCAACTAACTCAATCACTACTCGCCCGAAAAGTGTGGATTCTATCGGCCAGGAGCGTTATCCGCTCGCGCATATTTAAGTGTCTTGTGTGCTTTAAAAATAAACCACGAAACAAAATCCCTCTAATGGGTGATTTACCTGCTCATCGGGTCAATCCTACTCGTCCATTCTCATCTACAGGCGTAGATTACGCCGGACCATTTAGTGTTCGCGTTTGCAGTCTCAAAGCTCTTAGACAGATTAAGGTCTATTTGTGTATTTTTATCTGCATGGCTACCAAAGCTATTCATATAGAGGTAGTCACCGATCTTACCACCTCAGGCTTCATTGCCGCTCTCACACGTTTTGTGTCCCGACGCGGACTCTGTTCCGATCTGTATTCTGACTGCGGAACCAACTTTGTTGGTGCAAACTCGGAATTACGCAAGGTAATCCGTGAAACCATCCTTACACCTGATTCGCAGGACAAAATTGTTCATTTCACCACCCCCAAAGGAATTAACTTCCATTTCAACCCCCCCTCTGCACCTCATCAAGGTGGCTTATGGGAAAGTGCCGTTAAAAGTGCAAAATACCATCTGAAACGGGTAATTGGTGAAACCATTTTAACTTTAACCCAATTTCAAACTTTGTCCATTCAAGTAGAGGCAATGCTAAACTCGCGCCCTCTTACAGCTCTTAGTTCAGACCCTTCCGAAATTTCTGTGCTGACCCCTGGACATTTCCTCATCGGAGCTCCATTAGTTGCCCTGCCGGAACCTCAACTGTCTGAAGTGCCCTTCAATCGTCTTCGTCAGTGGCAGCTTGTCCAGGCTTTTCACCAGCGTATCTGGAGGCGTTGGCAGCTTGAATATCTCCACTCCCTCCAGCAGCGATCCAAGTGGACCACCCCTCATGAGAATTTGAAGACCGGAGACTTGGTGCTCATTCACTCCAATTCACCTCCACTCACCTGGCCTCTTGGACGCATCGTCTCCACTCACCCTGGCGCTGATGGAACAGTTCGAGTCGTCACAGTGAAGACAGCTTCTGGGACTTTCACACGGCCTGTTCACAAGGTCTTCCCTCTGCCATGCAATGAAGACTAAGTCCAAGAAACCTACTCTATGTACATATTAGATTTAAGTGTGGTTTACGTTTGCTCTTGTGTTTTTTAATTAATTGTCTGTTGAAGCTGTAATGCTTCAAGGGGGCCGGAATGTTCGGTATTCATATTTTTAGAGTATTTAGAAATTAATCATTATGTTAATTAAGTCACTGGTTAATTAATCATGCTAATGTGTATATAAATCACCACATTTATTGTAATATTATTTAGTCTCAGTAACAATTTATTGTAAATAGACTCCCGCTTTCAATATTCAAATGAGATTGCTAAGCCTGCTCGAATTTCCCGCCACAGTAAGGCCTATTTTCCTGTACTACATACCCATGAATCACCTGACGCCGGGTTTGCTTCAATCGCATTTCCTATTGGCCATCGAATTCCTAGACCCCTCTAAACCGCAATTGCATTTTTAAAAGTGAAATCGGTGATCGGCGTCTGTCTGTCCACGGTCGGCGTCCATAACTCACGGTGTATTCCGTTTCTCGTATCTCGGGACATTAATTGCCCATTTTACCTCTCTTAAACGTATTTTTAGGCTATAGATTAATTATATCTGGCCTCCCTCTCCTCTATAGTACATTTAACTATATATACATTTTAATTTCCCCCTTTTGTTTGTGATTAAATTACTTAAATTGTGATCTAGTGCTTTCAGACTCTTCAAACCTCAAGACAGTGTGTGCGCGTCCGTGTATTACTTCTAGACTTTCCGTACGTTTTCACCGTGACTTCCGCGTATTAGTGAGCTCTTTGTGATTATGAACTTGGGTGCGTTGCGTACTCCAAAATTCTACAAAACAGAAGCATTCGGTCTAAGGACTCCGCCATCCGCCATCGCTCCACCATAGACGACGCCGCTGCCATACTCTCCACCTTTGGACAATTGGACTCAAGGTACAACCTTAAAGTTTTGTGTGTGTTTTAATTAGACTCTAAAACTAATCTCATTTGCCCCTCACAAGACATTTTATTCCATCTCGGGACCTCAGTGCCCTTCAAATTGCAGATTCGCCATTTTCTCTAATTTAATTATTTTTCTCTTGAACTATTAATTAGTTCTGGTCCTTCGAGTTATTAATTATTTTCATTTTCACCCATTACGCCCCCAACAATATATTTACTGATTAATTTAAAAAGACAAGTAACTAAGGTGTGTTTAAGGATGTCTTATTTTTCCTTTTTTGAAAGTATTTTAAGATATGGTCTGACAGTTTGGGGAAATGGTATAGGCATGGAGAGAATTTTAATCTTACAAAAAAAAGCAATTAGAATAATAATGAATGCTAAACCGTCAGAACATTGTCGACCATTATTTGTAGAAGCTAATGTTTTAACCTTTGTTAATCTTTATATATATGATGTTCTGATGTTGGTAAAGAAAAACTATCCATCGTTGCCTAAAAGAGCCATATTCCATGACTATGAAACAAGAGATAGACATCTCCTACAGTTACCAAAATGTAGATTAACCAAAACAAAGAGTTACCATAGTTATTTAGGTCTTAAGTTCTTTAACAAGTTACCAAAAGCCTGGCTGAATTTATCAGAAAGAAAATTTGCAAAAGTATTGTATTCCTGGCTAGTAGAAAATCCTTTTTATGACATAGATGAATTTATGAAATATGAGTTTTTGTTGCATAGTTAAGATGACCTTATTGTAGACAGATTAGATATTGTATTTTTGTGACATTTATTTATGTATTATATGTATCTTTTGACAGAACAAATATTTGTTGCCTTGATATTTTGTTATTGCTTGTTAAGTTTGACGATGTCTATTACAATATGTGTATATTGTTGAAGGAATAAAGAATTTGTCTATTGTCTATTGTCTATTGTGTTTTCAAAACATTAATGAGTGTAGCCTACGTATCTTTAAAAACTTACGATACAACGTATAATGATTAAATGCAAGGAAATCTCGGAGACATTTTCTATCATCAATAGTATCAATAATTTGTACATCATGACTATCGGTGTGTTTGTTGTTGTTTTTTTACAGGAAGAGGACAAGAAGATTGTACAGAGATGGAGGTCCAAGCGGTGGCCAGACGAGCATTACTCCACTGTCACGATGGATATCAGCCAGAAGCAAGATCACACGGAGCTCACACTCACTCAGACGTCTGTGCCTAAAAGGTAGAGGCAGTTATCCTTTTGGAGCCTTATCTTTGTATACTCGATAAATGAACATTCACTTCCTATGGTTTTAGTAAACTTTATATTGATAGGTATTGCTGAAAATGTATGTTTTCAACACGAGAGATTTATTGAAATTTTTTTTACTGATTGGTTGTCTAATTGAAGTATCCAATCAACTCCAATTACAACAGCTTAAGAAGCTAGTTCAAAGGTGGATGACACAAGCAATTTCTTTCAAGAATTCCAGATTCTACCTTGCATCAACTTTTACATGTAAAGGTCGATTCACACATATTACGGCACGTCACAGGTCAGACACATCAGTCACGTCACAGTCAACCAAAAATATTCTTTGATGGATTTTCTATTGCACTATCTACACCCATCCGGCGCAGGTCTGTTAGTCACTCTGCCAGCGTCCATCAGTCAATTTCAGATTTCTCCTCACCGATATTTTTGGATTGTTCTGACGCCTGACATACGTTTTTGAGGTTAGACAATAGTTGTGACAATAGTGTTCTTTTGATTTAAATGATCGTGTTTATATTTTAAAGAACTGTTTGTAACAATCAACTAGATGGACTATGGAAATTTGATAGAATGTTGTGTTTTTTTCTGCAACATCACTGTAAATAAAGTGACAGAAGTTTGACTGAGAAATTGCGGATGCAACTGAGACTGAACTGTGATGGAACTGTGCCGGAACTAATATGTGCAAATGGACCTTAAAACTGTATCAGTGCCAAATGTTCATGATTGAAGATGTGTAAATTAAGATGGCTTGTAAGAGGGGCTGAGAGAAAGGCTCCCTACAACACTGAGACGCTGGTGGTATTGAATTAATCAAACGGTAATTAATTTATGAGATGACTTTTCAAAATTACACAGGTGAAGGATTCTAGCCGGCATATGCATCCTGCTTGCCAATCTAACTGCAACGTTCCGTATCAAAATGTAAAGTCCTGTAAATACTTATTTAACTATATCCCTATCACTGATCTTAATGATTCTAGATGTAGGCTGTCAATGTCTTTAAAAACTGGCTTTTTTCCTTTGGTGAGCGGGTTAAATACGCTCAATAAGTGAATTTTACCATTGAAACCTTTCCTAAAAGACTATTTCAAGCCAGAATATAATAATAAATTAAAAGAAAGAAAAGAGTTTAAAGTTTTAAATTAGCTAAATTTTACAACACCTAAAAGTGAAATCGGTTTTGGCCGCATGAAGTTACTTTGGATAAGCAGTCCACGATGATCACTATTTTATTTTTCAATGGTGCCAACCCACCATGGGTGTACTTTTAATAACAAAATTACATAAATACCTGTGGTCTGTACAATGATAAAGGTTATTTTTTTAATTTTTGTTGACAGTGAAGCTTGGATAGGTTGCAATAGCAAATAACCTAACATATTTTTTAACAGTGACGCTGAAGCCACCAAGGAGAACTGGAGCCGCTACTATTGGGACCCAATAAAGCGAACGTTCAGCTTCGGCTCTTTTCTGTGACAGCCTGACCATCAAAACTAGATGTGACTACTAGATGTATGGTTTACAATCGGCAAAGTGTGACACGTTCATCAAACATAATACAATTTTATTGTAATATATTGTAAGGCATCAAAGATTAATTATTTATTTTTAACTATTTTAGATTGTTTTCATTTTTTATACAGATTGATTCTGTATACATTACGTTCAATTTTTGTCTATTATTAACTTTTTAATTATTTATACCCGTTCTTATGTTGATTGTTTGAAAGTTAAACATCATGAAACAAACGTATTCCTTAGAACAAAATATTCTAAAATGATTTTTTGTGTCAACGAATTTGTCTTTTAGAAAGGATTATTTTATCGGTATATCATTATTGTGAAACTTGGATCTTTTTAGGGCTTCTTACAAATAAGGGAAATTCGATTAAAGCATGTATGAAAAATATGTCATATATCAATCAAGTTTTAACAGGCCTCCCTGTTTTTTTAACCGCTGTGCAAAATCTTATAAATCTTTTATAAGATTTTTGACTATTTTGTGATCTTTATCTTATGTTGTAGACAACCAATTTTTTTAAACAGTTTAAACAAGGATCTGAAAAGTTTGATTTAGTTCATAAAAACAATTACCTATTTTCTCGCACTTAATATTTTAATACCAATCAATCAGAAAAAAATTTTAAGTAATATTGTGAGTTTTTAAATTTTAAAATTCAAAGCTTGATGTTTTCAAATTAAAAAGAAATAAATGTTTTAGCTTTTACCTTATGCTGTGCTGTCTACTTAAAGTGGAGAAAGTTGAAATTTTATTTGTTAACTATTTTCACTGAAAAATTATTGTATTTCAAATAAAAATTGTTTATTACTTTATAAAACTGGATTTAAATTTTCTCTTTTATGTTTATTTCTGGATGCAGGGGCAAATATAAGGGAGGGGCCCGAAATAATGGATATGAAGGAAAATAGGTACCATAATATGAATTTTTTATCATGAATCATGCGCAAAGTTATCACCGTTGCAGACAGTGATAGTTTGTGCGAGTTCAGGTTGATTTAGTCTGAATCGAGCTCCCGCTCGCTGTCCGGCTATCTGCGCTTGCATCAGTTGCTAGAAACCAGCTTGCATTGCTAGAAACCAGCATATCTATCATCGTCAGGGGAGGGGAGTAATGAAGAGTTCAGTCAGTTCAGTGGTAGTGTAGCCATTGTTATTGTTTGTTATTTACATCTGTTAGACTATGTTGTACTGAAATATTAAAGATTTGCATTTCGGACGAAAGAATACTTATACAAAACAGTAGTTAGAATCCCTCTGAATATGATAATCACAATAGTGGTTTGGATAAGTGTTTACAGATGGGATGACACACTGTTAAATCTTGACCAATGTTTTTTGATATAGTAATTGATATATTTTCTTAATTTGGCTTGAATAGATACATTATTTGATTTAATGGAATAATATAATGATACAGTGTGATCTTTGTAAAGTTAAGGTAACATTTAGCGCAAATTACCGCAGCAAAACTGAGATAAAGTACCTATCACGGCGTGTCTACTTGAAATTACTTAACCTAACCTTAAAAAAATAGTCTCGCCTCCCCCCCCCCCAAAAAAAAATTCTATATCCACCACTTTCTGGATGGCAAGATTTAAGTGTGATGAATTATTTTTTTGTCATGTTTCATCATGAATTAACAAAGCTAGAAAACGAAAGAAAATATGTTTCATGTAATGATAACCTCTCAAAACGAATCTAGCTTGTTTTCAATTCTGCTAATATTAACCAGCTGTAAAGTAAGTGATTCAAACATTTTGTCATTTTACGATTATCATTACTCCCTAGGGAGTAAAAATGTTACTTTAGCCCTGCAACGCGTCTATTAAGAACGGCTGTTTTTTTTTCAGTACCTATGACAAAAATTTTATTTATTTTATAACAAGCTAGCCTATTAATACTTTACTCGCTGTAGCAGCAAACCTAGGTACTCGCTTAACGTAATATTATTTGAATAGTAAGTGAAAATCAAATCAGGAAAAAGGATCTGCAAGAAGAACTGGTAATATTGGGGAATGAATATAAATTTAAAATAAAAACTTCACCAATATTTTCAGAATTTTAAATTTTAGGCTATTTCAAATTTATGTAGGCAAATAGAAATTTGCTTAGTCTGTAGGTTTGCTGCTGCGGAGGTATTATTTTCTATATGGGAAATTTGCTAAAAAGTTCTTAATAATCAAAAATAATTTATTTTTTTAAATATCCAAACCAATCTTAAAAATTACAATAGATCATACTCAGAGTTCTCACTGGCCATTCTCTCAGCATGACTCGGATGTAGGAATACTCCTGAGTCTGTAATGTTGGACCACTGTCCTGAAGAGCGAATGTCATGGTCCATCATCAATAGAGGTATGAATCTTTTCCGTGCAAGAATATGTTTTTGCCGAACTTTCTCGACAAATTGTTCATCGTAAAAAGTGAAGATGTCAGGTACATTCTCATGAAGCCTCGCCTCCTGTTCAGTCAGTAATATGGTGTTCCACGGAGCCCATTCAACTTCTCGAAGCCATCTTACATGCTGTAACTTTGATATGTCTGAACATTCACTTACAGCAGAACGACCGTGCCAAATAATATTGGTCAGATGTCCCATCCCGATTGGCTGTAAGATAAAACATATTGCCGAATAACAGCACTTTTGCATCTCTGAATTCTGGACTTGATGCAACAGTTTCAGATAGGGGCTCATGTCAGCTCGCTTGTGAGCAATGTTTTGCATCCATGTGCAGGACTTGCACTGATCAAGCGCTCTCATTCTCACATGCACTGGGTATTTCGAAGCGGGTAAAAGTTTCAAACATCGAGAACACCTGAATGTTTGATGCAATGTTTTTGGCAAGTTAGGCTTTTTATATTTCTTTGCTGCCGGATTAAACTCTGGTTGGCGCAAGAAATCCAGATAAAGCTGCTCGATTCGTTTTTGCAATCCTTTTAAGTCAGTAAATTTAAACCCACTATTTATCATTTCTATTTCTCTGTTAATGAGGGAAATTATGTCTCGAGCATATTCATAATTCATATATTGTGATTCAAACAAGCGTTTTAAATTTATCACCAGTTCTACTCTTTCTTTCGGCGATACATCTTTTCGAGCTAAGGCACTATATATTTCTTTAAATTCCCTTGCCTTTTGAGTCTCTAAGTAATCAATAGTTGCCAAATGTCCTTTGGAAGTTCGAAACAACACTGGTCTTGATGTTTGCTCCAGAAAACGCATTTCTTCCTTTTTCAAAGATTCTGCTTTGCTGGCAGTTTTATGTTTTTCAATAGCTTCCAGTAACTCTTTTTCTTTTACCACCAGCAACACAGATGCAGCATTCTTTGCTTCTGATTTCTTAGATTCACAAATTGTCTTCCATTCATTTTTCCACCATTTCTCAACTCTCAAAAATAGAGCATAAAAGTCATCACGTTTCACTGGATATACAGCACCAGTAATAACTGCACGGTCTTTATCTTCTTGATCTTGAACAATCCTTTGGCGATCTTCTTTAAATTTTCGTAAATGCTCTAATTGCACTGTGATTAAGGCTCTAAATTTCCTTCGCATTATCCACTTTCTTACTGATCTCTGAATGATTGTAGCGGAGTTAACATGGCTTTGATCTGTGGGGAGTGACATGGAGTTGTTCATGTAAGTACCACAAGTTATTATTTTGTCATTTTTTGAAGACATAAAATGATCAGATCTACACATTTGTGTTGCTTTATCGACAACTGTGTTGACTTTTTTGTGAACAAGGGGGAAAGGAGTTTGTACATCTCTTTCAAAATATTTTGGAACATCATAGCTTTTAGATTCATTAATTTCATATACTTTTTTCTTGGGCATAGTTTGTGTTTCAGCATTGTGATACTCAGCGCCTGACAGTTTATTAGAATAACCTCCCAACCATTGTTTTTGAACACTTTCATTTTCTATTCCCACTACCACGTCCTTATAAAAGAGTCCTTCATTTACATGTGATGTAACTACATCAACTGTTGGAATATTTTCCTTGATTTTTGTTTTCACTATTGCTTCTCCTTTTGTGTAAACCAATTCGAGTAAGACTTTGCCATAGGGTTTGTCACTAAATTCAGCTAAAGCCTGAGAATCTTGTACTTCAATATCATTGTTGTAGAATATAACAAATTCCTCATTTAAATCTAAAACATGGGATAACCTCCTCTTAACTTCCCCAACCGTCATTTCTAAATCATAAGCTGTTGCAATACTAATACCACCACATTCAAACTTAACAGTAACTAATTTTGGATTGACATTGACTGATGATGGAACACTTTTAGCAATTTGTTCGCAATGTGTCAACATTGTGTCTTCAATGTTTTGTGCAGTACTAGCTGTTGATAAACTAGTTTGTTTTGGAATGTTTTTAACAAAATTTATATCTATGGAATGAGGTTGAGAATAAATCATTTTGTTGGAACTGGAGTTAGTTGAAATTATTTGTTCATTATCCATGCCAAACAAATTGTGTCTAATCTAAAACATTTTCTTGGTGCAGTACTATTATTTCACTTCCTCAATTTGAAATACGTAGTTAATGAATTCCATCTAAATTACCCTGTCATTATATGATGTAAAGTATGGTTAAAAATAACATCTTTTCTCGCATGATGCTGCAATCTAAGATCATTAATATTGAAGAATACAAAGTATAAAGCTCTTTTGTATCAAGATCTCATAGGATTGTATTAGTGCAACAGTGAAATACTTCTTAATCATGACTCATCTTCAGTACAATAGTTTTATTGACGTTTTCACTATTTGTTTGCTCATTGCTTTTTCATACACACCCACTAAATTTAAATTATGTTATTATTAATAAATTTAAATGTTAAAGATTCATAATATCCATACAATATTTTTATCATAACCTTAAAACAACACACTACCATAAGTAGTTAAACATAAAGTTTGAATAATTTTCTAAAATATCTAAACAGCTGATCTAAAAGTTTAACAACTTTTGGTTGCCCAAACCATCCCAAACACAGAGAAGTATGAAACAGAGGAAACATTCTATGGTAAGTGGTGGAAGCAAATTCAATTCTTTGTCCCCTTCCTCTGCTCTCCTCCCTCACCATCAGGTACTACAGTACTCACAGTACTACAAAGCCAGTTTTAAAAAAAATCCGGTTTTACCATTATTTTATGGATTTTTAAGGGGAATCCCGCCGCGATTTAAAAAAAAAATTTCAAAAAAGGAAACAAACGCCTGGAGATACCATGGATTATTAGTACCTAATTACCAAATTTCATCAAAACCAGACCACAGCTAGGTGTGGTCTGTAGCTCTGTACACATCCACACATACAGACATCACTTCGAAAACCACCTTTTTGGGTACCAGGGGACCCAAAAAAGATATACCCGCTCAAACTCGAAAATGCTGACGATAACAATACTTTCTCCATCATCCCCTATAAAGTAAAAGTAAAACTTTCACTTTCATCCCCTATATTATAGTATACTAAAATATAGTAGGCTAATACTAGTAGTAATATAGTAATAATAGTAATAGTAAATGTAGTAATATAGAAGTAGTATTATATACTATAATATAGGGGATGAAAGTAAAAGTGGACGGTAATTTTAACCTCTTCTTAAAACTTTGTTTCTTCCCACTAACTCAGCTACCATTGACTATTGGATACTCAAAGGTACTAATGCTTTGGTCAGCGTACATCCTGAAATTGTACCCCCTGAAGGTTTAGTCTTCCTTTTAGGACCAGAATTGTACCCCCTCGGAATTGGAACTATAGGAGAAGATGTACAACCCGAAATTGTACCCCATTGGTTTGCTCTTTATCACAGACTATCTGGAACCAATTATGGTCTATAGTAGGCCTGTGCCTTTATGCAACAATGTTACTATACTAAAACTGTCCTGTGTCCATCCCATTTCCACAAAACTTTGGTAGGTTATGTTAGGTTGTTCTATACAGGGTGAGTTTTAATTGTCCCCCCCCCCAACTTTTTTCTACATTTTTTTCAAATATCAATCCCAGACCACTTCCAAACATTGTAGGGTAGTAAGTACTTCATTTTGACAAGGTGGTCATTTCCGGCCGCCATCTTGGATCCGCCATATTGGATGTAAAATTTTTTTTTCAAATATAAAGTTGGGGTTGTGACCCATTATTTCGAACTAAATTTTTACCCTGATTACAACGCCGCAAACCGTTTTTAAAAATCTTGATTCATCTTAAAGTTATGAGGGCTTTTTAAAACTTTATTTTTAGCCCATTTTAACATTGTGCATTTACAAACTAAGTCCATAACCTCAAAATAGTGCTAGATAAAGATAAGTATACACTACCAGTAATTGTCGACCTATTTTCACTTGGTTATGACTGATGTATTTTTTTCGACCGCCATCTTGGATCCGCCATTTTGAAATGTGATAAATTATTTTAAACATGAAGGGGGTGTTGTGACCCATCATTTTGAACTAATTTTTTAAGTTAAACGCAATGCCGCAATCCATTTTTTGTTATCAAGTTTTATTTATGTAATATTGCAATTTTTTTGTTAAAAATGTCAATATTTCAAAATCTAAAAATTAAAATGAAAAACGGATCATGGAATTAAGTTCAGCTTAAAAAAGTAATTCGAAATGATGGGTCACAATACCCCCTTCATATTTAAAATAATTTATCACATTTCAAAATGGCGGATCCAAGATGGCGGTCGAAAAAATACATCAGTCATAACCAAGTGAAAATAGGTCGACAATTACTGGTAGTGTATACTTATCTTTATCTAGCACTATTTTGAGGTTATGGACTTAGTTTGTAAATGCACAATGTTAAAATGGGCTAAAAATAAAGTTTTTAAAATCCCTCATAACTTTAAAATGGATCAAGATTTTTAAAAACGGTTTGCGGCATTGTAATTACGGTAAAAATGTAGTTCGAAATAATGGGTCACAACCCCACCTTTACATTAGAAAAAAAAAATTTACATCCAATATGGCGGATCCAAGATGGCGGCCGGAAATGACCACCTTGTCAAAATGAAGTACTTACTACCCAACAATGTTTGGAAGTGGTCTGGGATTGATATTTGAAAAAATGTAGAAAAAAGTTGGGGGGGGGACAATTAAAACTCACCCTGTATACACCGACAGGGAAGGTTTTTGTATACTCCCACTCTTGTCTTGAACTCCCTTAGAGATCCGTCTCTCGGTGTTCTAAAATTTCATACAGTACATAAATTAAATATAATCAATAAATAGCTCGCTAGACACGGTACTGGTTAAATAAAGGCATACTTATGACTGAGTCCAATATTAAAAGTAACAGCTGAGAGGTTTAAACATGTCGCATTACAATAGATTCAAACGAATGACGAATACATTATTCTTCCTACACTGGTACTAAGGAATTATTTTATTACAATAAAAAGTGCAAATGGATCTAAAAAACTCTGTTTTTAGTGGCATAGACTAACCAACGTTTTATCTATGGTTAGTTAAGGCGTTAAGGTAAGACGAAACTTAATAAATGTGCATCTTCCAGACTACTGTAGTAACGTAATTAATTTACATTAATTTGTAGGTAGACCTCCTGGTTATCTATATTACCCTCATCTCCATACATACTTGGCTTAAAATACCTAGGTACTTTCGTATGGTCCATGGTCACCATTTCAGTTAGGCTAAAAGTATAAAAAATAATTATATATTATTGCATAGGTTCACAATAGGACTATTCACGTTTTAATATTGAATTTTAGATCTGCTTTAGGATGAATTTAGGAATCATGAACCTCTTCCTTTTAGGTTCAGTGTTACCCTTAGCGATAACCAATCTCATTGGATTAAACATACCTACTCCCCTAAATGTACTGAATGTATTATCTGCTCGACACCCGTAATATTTTTTACCTAACCCGCCATGTTAAACTTCCCTATCCCAAGCGTGATTTATATAACTTCGTTACTTCTCGAGTGATGTAAAGTTTAAAAAAACTCACTCGGTGATGTAATGAAACCCATTTAAATAACATTGAGTGCTTAACTTAAAAAATATACCTCTATGGAGCCAACGACGTTCAACGCTAGAAATCAGCTGTGCGCTTGAATTTTATTGTTATGTTTTGAAGAATTTTCCTAACCTAGCTTTTGTTTGTAAATGAACGTTACTGTTAGACAGGATTCTCTAACATTATATGAGTGAAATGGGTAATGAAAAATATTGTTCGTAACCTCCTGTATATTGTCGGGTCAGGTAAAATCTTGTACGTTACACGTTACGCAAGAGCGTGTTTACATCACTTCGGTAAATTATGCAACTCGCTTCCGCTCGTTGCACAACATTCACCTGCGTGATGTAAAAACGCTCTTACTACACTTGTAAGGTAAATAGCTATTACAAACTGTGAGACGGTTCATATAGTAATGTTTTGTCGGAAACAAAGGAAAGATGATCAATTAATTGTCACTGCCATAGATAAAACATGCGTGTTGGCTTTGTGTTGGTTAGTCTAAGATATCACTACAGTCACGGCTACCTTTAACTTCAGGCCGCGGCCTGGTAGAATTGGCAACGTCGCAAGTGGTGTTGTTGAGTGACAGACGTCCGTAAGATAACATGGCAGACAGATGACATAATAATATAATATAATATAATATAATAATATAAGCTTATTAATTTGCACTTTGTTGATTTAAATTTATGAACATAAATTTATGAAAATATTGAAAATAAAACATACAGAATTGAAAAACAACACAATATGAATTGAAAATTTAAATCTGTACATTTAAAAGTGGTGGGAGTCAATCTTACTAATATAAATCTGAAAGTTTGTGAGTATAGGTTTACCAACAGGGTGCAGCACTATTATTTTTCTTTTAATTTATGACAACAGCTAATTTGCAACCAAAAGGCAAGTGAGCGCAGCGAACGAGCTCCAACCTTAATTTAAAGCATGGTAAAGCGTAGCAAACGAACTTCAACCAGGACGTGATTGAGCGATGCGAACGAGCACATCTTGAAAATGAACGAGCATTTGACATAAAACCACATTAGGACAGGACGACGTTTGTCGGGCCAAAAATTTGTGGTAGGTACACAATGAGAACATTATTTTTTCCAAGGTTTAAGTGCAGTGGTAGAACATTAGGGCTATGGTTGGTAGATGTGTGCTACACTATAGGATACCTTGTAAATTAAAATACTGTAACAAATTTTCTTAAACCGTGTCCTATCCCATAACTGTAATAAGCATTTTATACGTATATGCCAACGCCAACTTCATACGAAGGACGGGTACTCTGCTAGTATTTTTATAGTTCAGTAACCAATCTTTCGTAAAAACACAAATACCATTAGCTGCTTCCAAACAAAACAGCTGTTACAACCCTACTTGTGACTTTGCCACTTCGAAGGCCGCGGCCTGGAGTTAAAGCAAAGACGGCCGTGCTACAGTACTTTAGGAAGGAAACAATAAAAAAAAAATGCTGCACTTCACCACTTCACAGAGAATAAAGCAGCTTTGTAGCAAGTAGTTGGCACTTTGGCAGCAGCAGTTTTCTTATGTCAGGGGAAAAAAATCATACAGTATGCTTCTTCTTCTTCTTCTAACTTAGCGGAAAATTTCTTCTTTCTTGTTATTGTGGGATATGGAATGAATGGATCGCGGTTTCCTCATTACTCAATTCGACTAATTTTTTCATGGAAAGAAAGTTTATTATTATAGGTATAAACAATATAGGCTAGATATTTATTTTACACTGTAATTGCAGGTTATGTGTCTTTTGTTTTGTGTACCGCTGTATTCATGTGCAGTGCACTGTGTTGTAGTGGTGTGCCAGCTTTTAACAACATAACTTAAATAATGTAAGTATGCTTCAAATTGTTATTCATTACATTCATAATTAGTAGCCTATGGAATCATATCCTAAGCCCCTCGCTCGTACCCAAAAGGCCTGAAATCAAAACACTAATTATTAATTTCTTGGTAGGGATGGGCTTCATAGGTAATAGGCCTACTTTGACAAACTAGTTCCAGTCGGTCCAGGTCCATGAGAGTAACTAGGTAGCCTACATTGACTAGTTACTTGTACTTATCGGTACAGGACCTGAGGCAGTGACTGCCAGCGCCCGGACACGACATTTTTGCAACGCTGAATCGGTACACAATAGAAAAATTACTATTCTTTTAAATCTATTTTGAAACAAGAGCGCTGCATTTAAAAACGGTCTCGTTCATAGGCTAGTTTTAATTTAAGACAAATAATTTATACCGGTAATCAAATAGGCTAGGTAGACTTTTTCCCATTGTCCATAATGTCCAACACGTACGGTAGGCCTACGTAGTACACACGGTCAAGTACCGATGAACCGACGACCGATATAGGTACAGGTACATGGACATGGAACTGAAGTGGACACCTAGACACTGACTGATAACAAAGACAAAGGGTAAGGGTTCAAGGGTTAAGGGATGGGACGGATTGACGGAATACCAGCAAGTATAACAAAGGAAAGAGAGAGAGAGCGTCCGTATTAGGTGCTGCGTGCGAGACCTCTTACCGTTACATTTCCTTAGACCAGTTGGACCTAGTACCGATCGGTACTGAAATGTACCGATCCAGGAACATCGGTACATTTCGGAACTAGTTACTTTGGACTAGTTCCTAGTGTATCGACCCATCCCTAATTTCTTGAGTTGTTCTCTCTAAGTTACATTACCGTAAGTTAGAACACGAAAAAAACAGTTGGACTGTTCTTAAAGCATTTTTCATTGGAAAGAATCCTATCCCAACAAGGATATGCCTAGCTCATCCTATAGGTAGCCTATACTAGGTGTGTTAAGGGCCTAAAGTGGAATGAATTGTTGGGCTACTCACTGCCTTAATACCCACATGATTAATTTACTTAAATGGTTTATGTTACCTTGCTCCCTAATAGGCTACCTACCCATATTATGCTATGGTTTAGGCCTATTATGCCTATGCTTATGTTTTGTGCAAATTTGTATTACCAACTAGGCAAGGTAAGATAAGTTAAAACATAGACCTAAACCAAAATGTAGTGATCCAGAGGTTACTAACTTACATTGTGACATGAATGATGTTAAATTCCTGTCTCTTATTTAATGAGCTTCGAATAACTTAGTTGATACTAAGCTAACTTGGTTAGCCAAATTTAACACGTTCGCTACCAACTGTCACGTATGTGTTACACAATGGTGTCCATAGCAGACCGGTTGTAAAATATGTGAAGCTTTTGGTGTAGACCAGTGGAATCAGCCTACAAAGAAACAAATTCCCAGACCAAATAAGCTAGGGTGAAGTAAGGTAAGTGGAACCCATTGATGTATAATACTCAACTGGATAGCGCGCTTTGTGGTGGAAAAACGGTCCGTGCCCACCAGTCGAATTGGTGGGATACTGAGGCGGACGGGCCGAATGTACCTCTCTGTTTTGCACAAATATACATTCACTCAACCTGCTCTGCTCCACTTATTTGTTAGCCTATCATACAAATTTCAAATTGATATGCTATGTCATTTTTCTGGAAAAACCAGTGCTTATTAGGCCTACTATGTAGTTAATTTTAACCTTAACACATTTTTATAATTTATTTAGGCAAATTAAAACTGATGATCGTTTTTTAACACCACTAAAAACATGAAAAATGTAGTAAGCGAGGAACTTTTTTATTTTTTGATCAGGAAAAAACATCCTGTGGCAAAGTTTTAAATTAAAGTATGAATTTTATTTTTTAGTAGAAGCTTTTTTTGATACGGAGTTGGCTTGTATCATTTTTAAGCGATTAAAAATAGGCATAAAATCGCTTGGTGCGGCATTGGTGCTAGGAGCTCGGCCGGCTAGGCATCAGTTTACGGGATTTAGATACTGAGTTTCTGGCATTTAATTATCATTATACACATTAAATTATGTCATTACATTACGAAGGATGGGTAACTAAATTTACAAGCGAATATTTAGGCTATGCATTTTATTGCTTACTGTAGTCACTATAGTTTAAAAAAATTCGTTGAATCAAAGAATAAATTTTGGATTCACAGTAGAATTTTATATAATATATATAATTAATAATATATTATACAGTAGAGTCCCGCAAACTCGGCACTCGATAACCCGGCAGTCTGGATAACTCGGCCATCACCTGGCTCAGAAAATTTGTGATTTTTTAGTTAAATATGTATGTAAGTTACAGTATACATTTTTTTATTTCCTCAGGCACCAAGGACTTGTTTCACTATATCTAATGACTTAATACTGACTTGTAATATAAATATAAATAAAAAAAGCGGTTGAAAAGCTTCAAAACTGTATTGTTAAGCCTAGTTCCCGATAACCCGGCATTTCACAAACTCGGCACCCTTTCAGTCCTCATTACGCCGAGTTTGCGGGACTCTACTGTAATAATATATGTTATTACTAGTGGCCTATAGGGGCCATAGCCCCTAATTTAGACTACAATAAAAAAAACCATATATAAAATGACAAATATTCGAAATAGGCCTATGTTTTTAAAATTATCAATTTTATGTTACTTAAAATTAACAGTGTTTCTTGTTCTATATCTTGATTTTCCTTTCGTTGGAGTCGTATATTAGTTGCTACTGATGTGTGAATGAAATACAATTGTAAAATAATGATTAAATCAATAACACAACATACTGTATTAACAAATGGAAACGTGCACACGGTTTGGCCTGAGCCCGGAGAACAACGAATCAGAGCTGAAATCATACAGCCGAACATTGCACATCTTTTTTAGTTTGAAATTGAAGATTTGTTTTGTAATCTTACGAATTCTGTTATAGTTTCCATTTTGAGAACGAAATGTAAAGGTTAAAATTATTATCAATTATTATGAAGGCAACTCCCCATTTCGCGGTAGTAAGTCAGAAATATATCTATGAATTTGTCCCTGAATTTTAAGACAGTAAGGCTCATTTCCCGGAATCTCTTTTTGTGTAGCGCAAAGCGACTCAAAAGCCATTGTACTGTCTGTTGTATTGCCTTATGTTTTTTTATGAATTTCGAATCATGTAAAAACAGTTATTTTAGTTCGTCATTTACTTGTGGTTGTGGCATGTCCATCGTGGCAAAATGCGTTGAAAGGTCCATTGTGGCCTCCTCTGCGAAGTCAAATGCGCCACAATGCATGCATGTGCTTTAAGAGGACATAGATTGTGAGAAACAACACTCAACTCATTTTCCAGCGTTCTTCTAAAGACAGGTTGTAAAACAGCTTCTGGATTTCTTTCACAGTTAGGCCCTACATTACGTTCTCTTTGGCATTTCTCTGTTGAATTCCTGGACACTCTTCCACGTCTTGCAAGTCTTCCCCTACCCTGTCTACTTCACTCATTAGTCATTACAAAAACGGAAAACAAAAAAATTAAACACAATTCATTTCGAAACATTATTTACCAACATTGACTTTCGGAATAAATGTAAACATTGCAAATAAATAAGTAACAGCTGATAGAATGCAGCCGTTTTCAGTCCCCATGCATTTCTTATGGTGGATATTTTACGTTTTATCGCATTTACTGGCAACTTTATGGGAAATCTGCTATTTTTCCCGAGTCCCTGGGGTAAAGACCTTTAATTTAAGACCTCTCCCACTTTTCTGCGACTCACCAGACGTCCACAATTTTCTGGTAAAAATTTGGTCTTACAGAATTATATATATAGATTATAACATGTTACCGTATAATAGGCTATGTTACAGTATTAATAATATAATTAATAACATGAGAAAATATTTTTTAATTATTTTACTTCACTGAGAATAATTAATGAATCGGAGATATTGGAATTAAATATTATAGGGTACACTCCTTTTATTTAACAACACATAATAGATTTTACAAACGTGTAGGCTATGACAAAGGAACATACTGTAGTATAAACAAAATGTATTCTTACAGGTTGCTAACTCTCAATAATAATTGGGGCTCACAGCAGCAAATGATGACTTGCTTATGTGATCAAATAATTATTGTGATATTTTTTTCTGGCTAATGTTCAAATATAAATAGGCCTATATCTAACTCTTTCATAACATCACTAAATTTCTTCCGAGATTTACTTTAGATGCATTGTCTTAAAAGTGTGAGCAAGTACTTAGATTAATTATATCTGCTTATAAACCTCCTTAAGTTCGTTATAATCAATTTTACTCGTAATATTTCCACAAAACTAACATAGCAATACGCGGCGAGAGCGGGCGCGACGCTCGGCACTAGGGTGAGTCATGCCTTTATCCCCACTCCTAGCGGACAGAGCGAGATAGCGACGGACCGTTTTCAGAGCCCTACTCCAACCTGAGCGCGCAATCCAGGGAGTTATACATCGATGGTGGAACCAGGGGGCAAGTGTAACCACAGCTTATCAATCAACTGATAAGAGAAGTTTCAGCTTAACCCTCGAGCTGGTGGTCTTTTTATGCTGTGGTTGCAAGGGTTTTTTTATGGTTCGCGCAACATTTTGTATAACACATTTTTAAACAGAAAATAAGTTTGTAAATATATCATAATATATATATTTTTTTCAGCATAAAAAAAGGAATAATATTACTGTATATATAAATTTTAGATAAGTTTATGAAATTTTAATTAAAATTTTTTTATATTTATTATTCTAGTAAGAATAGATTGTAAATAAATACTTGTTAAAAAAAAAAAAACAAAAAATATTTACTTAGCGGATTTTTTTATATTTATATGCGTGTACAGGGTGATTGGTACTTAGTGTGACAACAGTTTTTTGGTGTAAGTACAAAGTAAATGAAGTGTGATGATGGTATATAAAAGGTTCCAAATCTAACAATTTATTTATTTTCCAATAATCACATAACATCATATTCAGACAGGTGATTCGTCATTGTTGTAATAATTTATAGTCTCTATAATAAAACTATTACTAAAATAAATTTCATATGCTGAACCTTAACATCTACTGATGGTACCATTAGTCTGTGCTCGTGGTTGTAACAGCTGTCGTGTGGATGCGGGGAGGTGAGGGGGCTCTTTTCTAAAAACATTAGTCAGTTTTGCTGTCACATAAAATCGCTGTCAGTGTTTATTTGTTTGTTTACCTTTTTACTTGTAAACAGTTCAATGTTTTGTTTGTGATATTCTTAACCTTTTTTCACGTTTCGTTTTTTTCTTAATTTAATATACACACACATTTTTCTAATTTTGTGCCTTTCATTATCATTATTAGGTGTACAATTTGAGAATCTTTCTAATTATGTTACAAGATGAACATAATAACATAGCATAACAACAACACAATTTAAACAAAAAATCAAAACCTCATGTCGCAATTGGAAGGCCAAGTTAATCAAGGTGACTATCCTTCTTAGGGATTAGAAGAATGTGACTGCTCCCACCGAGGGAAAACGTGTGAAAACAAACAAAATACCCATAAAATTGTTGAAAAAGACAAAGATTTCACTTCAATTCTAAACTACACCACAAAAAGGTATGACTAAAGGGCCTAAATTAGTATTTGACGTTAAAATACTGAAATATGAGAAATGTGAAAGAATGAGAATATGTGAGTTGGATCACTTCATGCTCATCGCTCATTTGCTGAAGTAAAGTGATAAGAAGATCGGGATCTTGGATTAGAGGAGAAAATAAGAACACGAGAATGATTTATTTATTAACCACAACCATTCATAGGCCTACTGTCTCGTTGAAATGTGGAGTTCTATCGCTTATGGGTTACTCATTGACGAGGACGGTTGTAAAATGAGTGGACTTTCCTAATTTACTGATTGTTGCTAAATTTATAACCTTTGTTGTTTGGTTATTTTCACAAGGTCTTAGTATAAATATGTTTGTATACTTAATTAAAGTCTATAATCATCTTATTAACTGGATGCTTTATTAATTCATTTACCTATATCCAAATGTAACTGAAGGATTATTTTTTATTCAGATTTCAAAAATATAAACCACTTTGACAGATCTTGTAAAATTGACGACTACTAAAAGACTTCTTTAAGCTTATGACTGATTTTTATCTAACCGTTGCTGTATTATCATAAGCATATAATAGCAAACTGAAAATAAATATAAAACACCAGTAAAAGCAAATGTAGGCCTAAATAGTTGAATGATAAAAGTTGATTAAGAAATTTTAATTTATTAACTATTTACAAGGTTAGGCCTGTATATATTTTAAACGAGGTCTTCAATGTCACTCATATCGCCGTCTTCTTTGTCACTGCTGTTGCTGTTTCCATCTGATATGACCATTGATTCCACGAGGTGGCTCAGCTGAAGCGTAATTATTTTCAATAGTTTTTACATGGTCGCACTTGTTTTTCCACTCTGTTGCACCAATGATATCAAATTTTTCCTGTGCCAATGAACGGATGATCTCGAAGCTACAATTTACGTTTCTGCTAGCTACGTAACCTTTTACTTCAGCCCAAATAAGTTCTATTGGGTTTAGATCTGGGTAGGAGGGGGGGAGACGAAGAATAACATGGTCAGTACCAGTGAGTAGTTCATCAATTTCATATCGAATGAATCTTGGTTTGTTCAGCAGTACAAGCTTATACAACTCGGGAACCAGCATTTCGTTTGAATATTGTATTCCATGTTTGGTTAGCCAGTCCTTCATTTCTTGTTTCCTACTATTTGATGTGGGTGCTTTGTCTAATTGCGCATTGTGATAAGGTGCGTTATCTACAACTATCACGGACTTCGGTGGTATGTTCGGCAGAAGTTTCTCTTTCATCCACTTGATCATGGTTTCCTTCCTGACATTGTCGTGATAATCACCCGTGGTGCTCGAAGCCTTCCACATCGTCAATGCGTTAGGGACAAATCCAGCTTCACTTCCTGCATGAATCATTATTAGGCGTTGTCCTTTAGAAATGGGTACACACATTCCCTTGGTTGAGTTGTCAGACTACGATGGACTTGAAACATGGCTTGTTAAAATTTATGATTCGTCCATGAAAATAATAGTACGACCCTCATTTCTGAAACGTTTGACTGCTCTCAAATAAGAAATTCTCTTTTCCCGGATTTCGTTTGTCTCAATCAACATTTTGCGGTTGTTCTGCGTTTTCCTCCATCTGAAACCAAGCTCCTTCAGAATTCTCCTAAGGCTTGATTTTGATCCTTTGAAATCTATCTGTTTTTTTAGTTCCTCGTGTAGTAAAGAAACTGTTGGTAGTATTTTATGTTGAATGTGGAACTCATACACCAAGCGTCTTATCAAAGACTTATCAAAATCATCCACTCCAGTGACGGGCCTTTTTCTGCTTTCTTTCAACTTATTAGGAGTACAAAAACTTTTGTCGCTATCATCGTCATCATGTATTAGTAGTGCTTTAAGTTCGCCATTAATCTTCGTTATGACTCGCTCCGAGACCCCTGTTGCCACTGCTGTTTGGGCGCGAGCTTTTGCCAAGGGAATGCTTACAGCTTTATCGTCAGCCTCTTTTTTCATAAACTGGTAAACATTGCTTACTATTTCCCGACTCTGTCCGTTCAGCGTCCTACCCTTCAACTTACTTTTCACTCTGTCACACATAATTCTATGTATGCCGAATACGTTAAAACACAGTATTAAACAAAAAACACAGTTAAACTAAACGAATCTTTCCGTTAAACACACTCTGCTATAATAATATTTAGAAAAGAATATAAATATTTACTTTTTTCAATCAAGTGATTCAATTAGAAATTCGATTATTCCAGCTAGAAATCTTATAGACGACTATTGGTGTGAGTGAGACCATAATGGAGTGAGTGAGCCCAAGTTTTATAGAATGGCTAGTAGCATCAGATCCGCGCGCACAGACTAATGACACTGTCTGTACACAGCTTCCATATATTCCTCCAATGAGAAGAAGGCCTTCTCCAAAAGAAAGTCTTTTAACTTCTTTTTGAATTTAGGGAATGAATCAGTGTCCCTAATTGAAGAAGGTAATTTGTTATATATTTTTGGACCCATGTACTGAGGAGATAAATGGAATAGGTACTTTAAGTCTGTGTTGAACTGGTTTTATATTGTTTTTAAATCTAGTGTTATGAGGATGTTCATGTTGATCTTCCATGAATGTGTCAAAATCACTTTTAACCATCAAAGCCAGTTTAAAGATATAAGAACTATATAAAATAAGAATTTTAAACTGAATGAAAAACTCTTTACTGTGAGTAATTCAAGACACTTTGGCTAAGACTCTAACTGCTCTTTTCTGGAGGATAAAAATTTGTTCGGCATGACTAGAAGAACCCCATACTGTTAAACCGTAATTCATGATGGAAGAAAAATAAGCGTGATATATTGGTAATTGTGTGTCTAAATTTGTAGTATGTCGAATTACCCGAAGAACAAGTATAGCTGATCTGAGTCTCTTTGATAGATTCTTAATGTTTGTTTGCCAATTAAGTTGCCAATCTATATCAATTCTCAGGTAATTGACCGAGTTTTGAGAATAAATTGATGTTTGGTTCAAATTTACAGCAATGTCTCGATTCTCATTAGCAACTGAAAAGTGAATTAGTTGTGTCTTTGACACATTCATAGATAGACCATTTGCTGTGAACCAGTCCCCGAGGAGTTGAAACTCATTAGTAATTAAGTCTTGTTTAAAATCCAATGTTTTTTGTTCAGTGCATATTAAAGCAGTATCATCTGCATATTGAAAAGTATGCATATTTGTAACATTACACAAATCATTTACATAGATTAAAAATAAACAAGGTCCAAGAATGGAACCTTGAGGAACTCCGTAGGGTGTATAACCCCATTCTGACTTATATTTAGTTTGGCATTTCTGTAAAATAATTCTTTGTTTACGACTTTTTAAATATGAAATGAACCATTTTAATTCCACATTTTTTATTCCATGTCTGCTTAATTTTTCTAGCAATATATCATGATCAACACAGTCAAAAGCCTTGGACAGGTCACACAGCACACCTATTGTGCGCTGCGACCCGTCCAAGGCCTTTATTAGCTTCCCAATAAATTATTTTATGTTTTTCAAAAATAACTACGGTATGTTTTTAAACTTAATACAGCAATTTCTCATTTACCTGTTAGGCCTATATGGATTTGAGTAGATCATGTCGTTTTCGTGTTCTACGTTAAATTTTGAATAAGAATAATAGAAAATAACGGAGGATGAGTAGTAAAAACTCCATTGTAAATAGATTCAAAGTTAAAAATTAAGATGTTTGATAAAAATTTCAAAAACATTGGTCTATTGCATTTGTTCACACCCTGTATACAAGAAAGTGTCCGAATATGTTAAAAACTGCACCATTTCATAAGCTTTCCAACCATATGCTACACTATTGAGGTTTAGACATTCTTTTGTTTGTTTTAGTGGTTTGAATACCAGAAAACAGGGAACTTTTGTACTGTTTTTACTGTTCAAGCTGAAACAAAAATACAAATTTTGCTCAATTTTGCCGACTTTCTATGTTTCAAATGCTAAAGACACCATGTTTTGTAGTCTTCAAACCACTAAAGCGTACCGTACATATGCAGACATATGTTCAGACATTCTTGTATACAGGGTGTGAACAAATGCAATAGACCAATGTTTTTGAAATTGTTATCAAACATCTTAATTTTTTTCTTTGAGAATCTATTTACTATGGAGTTTTTACAACTGATCCTCCGTCATTTTCTATTATTTTTACTGAAAATTTAATGTAGAACACAAAAATGACATAACCTACTCAAATCCATTTACAGGTAATTGAGAAAAAGCTGTATTAAGTTTTTTTGAAAAACATAAAATAATTCTTTGGGGAGCTAATTTTTAGACTTGGAACCTTTTATATGCATCCTCACACTGCATTTACCTTGTACTTACACCAACAAATTTTTGTCACACTGAGTACCAATCACCCTGTATATTGCGTAGCCTACTTTAACTCAAACCAAAAATAATTGTTCAAAATACCTATACAAATTGTTCACAATTTCATGAGGAAATGATTGATATATAATACATGTACCTTGTTCCTAAAAAAAATACATAATGGTTTTTATTACTATATATACATATTTGTTGTACAACCTACACAAATACTTGAAGCAAAACATTCAGGTCCAACTTCACACAAGAAATAATTTATAAAATACTCAAGTTCTCAAGTTATATTACATAGCCTACCTAGATAATCCCAGGAATGGTTGCCTGTAGAACAGCCACTGTTTTTTTTTTAATTTCGTATATACACTATTTGCATGAGTTTATTTACATATGTACACGTATCGGTTACTTCACTCATGACTCTCTTCACTCCGAATCACTAGATTGCCTTCTCTTCCTGCCATTTTTTGTAGGCCTGTAATAGTGGTGTAGAAGGTGATAACAATTCTGGTGAATTCTCCCATTACAGCCAGGACACCAAAGGTGGTTTTCCTTTTCATATTTTTGTCCAGACACTCTACACACAGGCGATTGTCCTCTCCAGGTAGTTTGGTCAACTCATGTCGAGGTCCAAGGACATCACCACCTGGACCTGGTACATTTTCAGGCTGGGCTTGGTCAGTGGACAAATCCTCTATGATGTTCATTAGAAAGTCCCTGTGATTTTTCATGTGTTCTCGGTCGGTGTTGGCTTTGTATGAAATGTACGCATTGTGAAGCGCCATATCTAGAAAATTTGTGAACACTTTTCCAGTAGCGTCTAGTTGGCCTGTCCCAAGAGTAGTGATACATGGTCTTATCCTTGGTATCAACCCCTCCCATGTGAGCATTGTACTTGGCAATAAGTACAGGCTTTATGGCCTCTCATCCACCTTTGCTCCTGACAAGCAAAAGCCAGGTAACATAAACCTTATTAGTGCTAATTTTAACGATCCAGTGGCCAACCATCATGAACAAGCCTACATCGTCTAACAACTGGTTATTCACGTGATAGAGGACATGTTCACGCATAGCACAGTAACTTATCAAAGTAGTATCTCAGGAACGGACGAGCGTCTTAATAGGGCAAGAAAAGTGACGGAGCGCTCGAGCTAAAATCTATTGAGGGCGATATTACGGGTCAATATGCCTGCAACACTCGATATGACTTATCTATGTCCTCTCCTAATTAATAAATTCTTAAATCTGGCCTGCCAAACATATTGTTACAATTATTGTATGATAGTTTTTTTTTCATGCAAAGGTTTACTCTTGGGCTATTCGTTGTTTTAGAATGGAAAACAGTGAAGAAAAGAGCAAGATTTGTCGAACCTCCCTGGAATCACTTGTGATATTTGTCTCAAATGATGAACTCAAATACAGGAATAAGTATCTGCCTGGTGAGTAAAGCAGTTAATTTAAAGTTCAAAGAACGTCTAAAAAATTCAATTGCACTATTTTGGTTTGACGGTCAATTCTAACATTTTGTTAGTCTAGTGAAATTATTAAGTTGTTTATTGATACTGAACAATATTTATTTATTTATCGTACTTGTCAGCAATTTTTCAATTCGTTAATATGGATATATTGAAATGAAAAATAAAATATTGATAGGCCTAAAATAACATCGATAATAATGAATGTTCCCTTTAACACGAAAGTACCCATTCCATTACCATTTGGATCACTAACCAATTCACATTTCAGATCCCAAACGGTTATCAAATGACAAGATCGTCTGCACCGTGTGTTCCACCAATCTAGCGCCTAGAGTTCGCAAGGGGAAGGAGATCTACATCCATTCAATACTGGGTGTTCTTTTATGCAAGGTACGATAATTTTATAACAAATATAGATTACGAGGGGGTTGTGCGCAAATTGCACATTTAATTAAGATTCAAAATTTGTTTCCAAGGCAAAACTAATAATGCAATATCTTTTACCTTTCAAAGATACTTCCTGTAGGAATAAAAAGAATTTAACATATTAAAAAAAAATCATTTTAGCTTATTTCCCTATAGGGAAGTAGCTATTACCGTAGGTGGCACTGAAGACATAGGCCCGGGACCGATTTACTTTGTATTTTGATGTCCCCAGAGGCAAAAAACACAATTCTTTCAAATTTATATATATGTAGGCCTATATATCCATATATAAATCCCATAGTACCCATGCACTTATGAGAAAACTACAAGTCACACCCCAATAAACCATATACTCAAAATGTTGGTCATGACGAGAAACCTTGCACAAAACTATCCATTATTTCATAAATTGCCTAATTCTATTCTAAAGGGATTGTTCCATATACCTAATGTTAAAAGTACCTCAGCAGTACTGTGTATTTGTATGTTATGCTTTCAATTTATTACCTTATTAAAATCAGATGTGTTTTTATTTGTTTGTATTACTGTATTCTGTTTTGTTTATTTCTGCTTAACTTAACCAATCAATAGTTTTATTAATACTTTGAAGTCAAACGGGGTGAAGCCCATGGATAACAGCTAGCATATATATGTACTATATACGTCGGTGAACGTGATAACTTAATTAAGTAATTTTTGTCTGATTTTGATAAAATTTGTTTTAAAGGCGTAAGGCCTGATGAACTTGAATGAGTTCGCGAACCAGCATTATCATCGGGGGTTTTAGGGTGAAAAATGGTTTTTCTCATTTTTGCCCCTCAAAACACAAAATTTCCCAATTTCTCTATAGAATTTTTTAAAGAGCTTAAAAAAACAAATGTCTTAGTATATCAAAGTGTTTTTGTACAGTTATTGGTAATAAAGCAAAATTAAAAAAAACAGTAAATTTAAAATTCCCAAGTTATTCTTATGGAGAATATTTTAAAATGTTTTAGTTTGCTTGTTTATGGATATATTTTGATATAACTTGGCAAATTTAGTTATTGTATTGGTACTAAGCTATTAATATTTTACTAAAAAACACACTTTATTAGTTTGCTTGCAGTAGCAAAACCTAGGTACTCGTTAAACCTAATGTTATTTGAATAGATTTAATTTAAAATCAATTCAGATAAGTTAAATGGAAATTCACTTAGTCGGCAGGTTTGCTGCGGCGGGGGTAATAAAATTAATATATTTGTTTTAAAAACATTTATGAGGAAACCTTATTTTTTAATAACGTGGTTTGTTCTCATTTGTCCTCGTATCATTTTATTTTTAACTAATTGTAATCATATATTTTTTAATTCAATTCTTAATTATTACATATATTAGGTAGGCCTACAACTTCCAAAAATTATTATATGTATAACCAGTGTTAAAGCTATAGTTTCTCCCAACATTTTTAACTTGATTTGTGGCCTATCAAACTATGTCCACTACCAAATTCTGAAATACTATTGTAATGTTTAGAATTTATAACTGTGATAGTAAACTAGTTTAACTTTCACAGAAATGCCATAATTTCTACGGAGACGGCATTTTCTCCACAGACGAGGATGGGGAAGACAAGTACTGCCGTTGGTGTGGACAGGGTGGTACGCTCTACCTCTGCTCAAAGTGCAACTGTGGTTTCTGCAAGGTACATTATAATTTTACATTCAATTTTATTGTAACAATTACAGTAGAACTCCCAATTATCCGTATGAATTGGGACAGTATGGTAAAGAATCTGAATGTTTGGATTTTCAAGAAAAAGTAATTTAGCCTAAAGATAATTTAGCCGACAGATAAAATCCACTGAACAATTGTGAGATGTTCCAATTTTCAAATTTTTGTTCTCAATGAATTTCATTTTTGAAATGTTCTGTTTGGAATGATTCAGATTAAATGCATTCAATGAATGAATTCATATGAGAAAATGCATTAATTTACTACCGTATGCAAATTCTACCTTTTGTGTAAGTAGACAACAAATTTTTTTCCTTCAGTTAAGTTCAGACCTGACAAAGTGGTCTTCCTTGCACCGATTATAGTACACCAAGTAACTAATTGTTTAACTTACTAATTTTTCTGCACTCATTTTTCTTTTGCCTCACTCTTTTTTTTTGCCGCACTCCAGTATTCCAACCAAACAACACAAAACAGTGTGCTTTTATTAGGCACTTAATATGTGTACGCTTGAAAATAAGTTGACAACACTTCAAGATCCTACGACTACGATCAGCTGGTGCAGCGTTTCCCATTTCGTTCAACCTTGGATTTAATCTAACCTAAAAACGTGTTGTATAGTAATTGAAAGACTAATTATTAATATATAATTAATTATAGCATTAATGTTTGTTGCTTTATAGTAACTGTAGGAAAAATATAATGTGTAACGTGAGTGCAAAGTGCCTTTGCTGCTCTTGAGAAACTTTCCACACTCGCTGCGGCTCGTGCGTAAACCTTTCTCTCATGTGCAGCAAAGTGCCACTTCGCACCCTAGTTACACAAATAACTATTTATCTGTCCCAAAACGATCTTTTACAGACATTACTAAACATCAATTGGTTTCTCTGGTAGTTAGTCAGTCAGGCCTGCATCTGGAATGTCCATCTCATGTTGTGTGCAATTTTCTTTACGTCACATCAGTCCAATTTTTATATTTTTCTCCTTTGATGTAAAATAGGTAGGCCTAGTGTTAAAATCACACAACTCCAAAAAGAGTTGTTCGTGTAGGACTGTTTAGCCTAAATAAACCTGAAAACAATCTTGTTAAGTGTCATTGAAGCATGCCTATTGCAAAAGAAACAAGTGTATGGACGTACAAACCATTATGTAAACGAGTGGATCTAATTTTTCTGGCCAATGATTAGTATGATTAGATTTTGGAAAGTTGGAGGTCTACTGTACTGTGTTAACATTTTTAGCGAATTTCCCTATAGGGAAGTAGCTATTACCGTAGGTGGCACGGTAAGACCTAGACCCGGGACCGATTTACTTTTTCATTTTGATGTCCCCAGAGGCCAAAAACACCATTCGTTCAAATTTTTATATATGTATATATATATAGACTTATATATATATATATATATACTAGCAGAGTACCCGTCCTTCGTACGGGGTTGGCATATAAGTATCAAATGCTTATAGCAGTTATGAGTGAGGACATGGTTTAAGAAATTTCGGTTCTTTTTGAAGTTCGTTCGCTACGCTCACTCACCTTTAGGTTGGAGCTCGTTCGCTGCGCTCACTTTCCTTCAGGTTAGCTCGTTCGCTACGCTCACTTGCCTTCAGGTTAGCTCGTTCGCTACGCTCACTCGCCTCCAGGTTGAAGTTCGTTCGCTACGCTCACTCACCTTTTGCTGTTGTCATAAATGTAAAAGAAATAATAGTGCTAGTGCTGCACCCTGTTGGTAATCCTTGTAACTTTTAATGCTATTGAACATCATAGAACAGAACCAACTTGTTTAATTGAAACAGCTGTTAAGATTCATTAATTCCATTTCTCATAAGGTTAACATGGGAAACTCCAGAGCCACTGGGGCGGAGCCCCGAAGGATTTTTGGGATAAAAATATGCCTATATGTTAATCGGGAATGTGAGCTATCATCATGCCAAATTTCAGCCCGATCCGACCAGTAGATTTTGAGATTAGCTCATACAAACACACACACAGACACCACCTCTTCTTTATAATAGTATAGAATATAGAATAGAATAGAATATAGATATATATACGTCCGTGAACGCGATAACTTGAGTAACTTTTGTCCGATTTTGATGAAATTTGGCTTAAAGGTGTAAAGCGGGATAAACTTGAATGAGTTTGCGAACCAGCGCGATCGGACCATGGGAACGGGGCTTTACGGGGGGTTTTATGGGGTAAAATATGGTTTTTCTCACTTTTGACCCTCAAAACACAAAATTTCCCGTTTTCTCTTTAGACCTTTTTAAAGAGCCTAAAAAAACAAACATTTTAGTATATAAAAGAATTTTTGTTCGATTATTAGTAACGGAGAAAATTTAAAAAATTGTAAATTTAAAATTCCCATGTTATTCTTATGGAGAATATTGTCAAATGTTGTAGTTTGCTTGTTTATGGATATATTTTGATCAAACTTGGCAAATTTATTTATTTTGTACTAAGCTATCAATATTTTACTCAAAAACACACTTTATTAGTTTCCTTGTAGCAGCAAACCTAGGTACTCGTTAAACCTAATGTTATTAAAATATATTTAACTGAAAATCAATTCAGACAAATGGAAATTCGCTTAGTCGGCAGGTTTGCTGCGGCGGGGGTATTGTCCTTAGTTAAGGCATTAATCAATCATTTCAAAAAAATTTTTCCGGCCCCTTTTAATTAACATCTACATAAGTCTCACAATAAATCAAAGTTTAAATATAATGAGTAGAGTCTAAATTATGCAAACTAAACCAACCGCGTCAAGTTCTGATTTGGATAACATGGGAAGTATGAAGACGTTTGTAAAAGTGTTGAATATTATATTCAAACGTTGAAATCGTAAGCACATTAAACTCTACCTATTTATTTTTCTTAGCCAACTGTCTGGGCTAGTGGTATTTTCAAAGGGGTAGAAATCAGAGGTGTACATAAGTTTTTTTGGGAAAGCGGTCCAAACCCATTAAGTTTTGTGTGCTGTGAATTGAATCGGTCCCTCTCACACCGAAGTACGATAGGCTAACCACTTGGCTAGTAAAACACCCCAGTTCATGAACCCAGACTAATTTATTGAGTTTTATATAAATAAAATTGTTTTCAGAAATGTATGCAGAAGAACATGAAAAACTCTGCTTTGGCAGAGATAGAAAAGGATGACTGGAATTGTTTAATCTGTGTTCCTAGACCTATATTTGGTTCTAGAGCTGTTTGTTGGGCCTCGCAAGAGCTGAATAGTGATGTCAGGTAGGATTCCAGCTGTTATCCTGTATGTAGTTGTTGTAAGCAGCACTTAAATTATGTGACGTTACTGACGTTTCTCATACTCCATCCTGCTAGAAGTAACGCCAAACCACCAAGTTTAAGTTTATCAAGTTTTTTGTTAGAGATGTGTTGATTCTAAAATTGATCCATTCTTGATACCGATACCGTAGCTGAAAAAGCTATTCTCAATTGTAGTGCCCCCCCCCCTTGCCACCTGTTCAAGGCAATAACAGGTGCGGCATAGCTGTCCTTCAGGCTACTGATCGATATCAGCAGGAAATATCAGTCTATATTTGTAACTCACTAATGTTTTTGATTTTTTGCCAATCATTACCAAGCATTACTAAGCTCTTAATTTTACAGGATTCCATTTGCCACAAGGAACGTGAATGAATTCTGACAAAATAGTTTTTTTTAGCTTTATCCGAGATCCTTTTGGTAGGCCTATCTAAAATAATTTAATAATGACTTTAACTTGCAAATGTTTTAAAGAATATTTTCTTTTTTCTGCTCTTTCTTTGGGTATCATGGACTTTTGTTATGTTGCTCGGGCACAGTCCTGGCTTGGCTGATTTAAATAGGTTATACTGCAATCAATTGTTTTCCCACCACTGCATGAAAATGATCACACTGCCACACCTGTTCATAAAATAACAACAAAATAAAAATAGCAAAATAGCTCATGTTCACTCTAGTGCGGGAATAACAATTGCCGCTCGTTAAATCAGCTGATTTCACAGTTGGTGTTTCTATAAAACACTAACAACCTGTAAGCAAATAACAAAACCTAAAAAAAGCAAACATAATCTAAATGATATATACAACTAAAACGTTTATCTTTGTGTTATGATAAGTTAATCGTGGTGGTAGGAAAAATCTTATCAGTACTACGAGCACAAACAATTATTGCTGCTCTCAAAATATATTGCCGCGGCCATCTACAGTTCTCAAGCAGCAATGACATACTTTGCGCTCTTAATACGCAAATAGCAAGTAGTTCCATGATATAAAAGTTGCAATGCAACAGAATCAGAATCAAGGTTTATTCCAGTAGACACATACATTGACAACTAGTTATTGATGTAATCGATTCACCGGTTTCAAAACTGTTTGTCTGCATGTTTTATAGTATTTGAAAAGTGTTTTCTTTGTTTTCAGAAAAAATGAACGGTTGAAACATAGACTTGAGGAAGAGAAATTAAAACAGAATGCTGAAAAGAAAATGCACGAAATTGAACAAGACTTCAAAAGCACAGCCTTGGAGGGAGTGAGTTTTTCTTTCATTTAAAGATTATAAATACTTGATATTATCTATTTTCTATTCTGTAGAAATTGTATCTAATATATTAGTAAAGGATGTGTTTTTCATATAGGCTATGAAGATTGTCCATGGAAGTAACCTATACTGAGAAAGTAGTTTGATATCCTATACTACAATACAAGCTATGTCTGTTTGTCTGTCTTTAATATATGGGTCACCGGAATTTTATCCCCCTGGAATTTTATCCCCCTGGAATTTTACCCCCTGGCCGGATATTTAAATTATTAAGAATGATTGATATTCCTATTTCTGTTTTTTTTTATTGTAAAAATTTTATTATTAAGTACTGGTAGCCTATCTTAATTTATTTGTAAGATCTTTATTTATTTATTTTGTAATCTCTTCTTAGTAAACAGAATTCGCTGTTTAATTTTGATGTTCGGGATTTGCGTTTGGTGCCAACTGTTGGTTAATAAGTTTGTAAAATAAAGTAAATAGCTTATTTGAATGATAATTGAGTGAACATTTCTTTGTAAAGAAACAATAAGGCTTATTTTGTTATTGTTACAATACAAACAAAAAACATTGTTTACCACGGTTGTATAATAAACCGTTAAAGAAATCCTCGAATCATTTACCATTCTGATGTTTGTTTTTATACGTCATATTAACCTATATTTTATCTATATTTTTAATTTTGATATTTTCATGTATAAACTTTTATATTGCACTGCTTGTTTTAATTTATTTGACCTGAAAAGCTATTAATATTGATGGTATGTTGTTATGCCATGCATGATAATGATGAGTATTTTAGTTAGTTAGTTTTATTAAATTACTCTTGACGCCATTCCTGTATCTATGTATTGTACTTTAATGAATAAAGTTATATGAAATGAAATGAAATGAAATAACCAACAGTTAGCTTCAAAGATCGAATCCTGATACTCGAATCTCGAAATTAAAATTAAAAACCTGTTCGATTATTTGATGTTACAAATAAATTAAGCTAGGCTACTTAATAATAAAATGTACAGTTAAATTAAAACTGAATGAAGATAATTAACCATTCTCACTAATTTAAGTTCTCCTACTGTTTATTCTTATTGCCGGTTTCATGTTGCTTTAGGTTTTAGATCTTGCATGCCATGTGTCTTTTGGTTATTGAAAGTAAGTGTTATCTGTATATAGAAGGATTCCATTTCCATCTTTTATCACTATAACCCACAGACTGTAATTCTAATCCATATTACAAGTTTTCAGATTACGAGTTTATGAAAACTAACACTCGACGATAGCTTAGGTGCAACAAAGTTTTCATAGGGTATTTGCTAAAATCCGAAAATCATGCTCTTATATTTCTTTGTACTTTTTAGGATCGCAAAACCAAAAAGCGTGCACTTGACAGTGAAGACAGCGATGGATCTACAGTTTTCATTCCTTCTAAAAAAATGAAAAAAGATACGAAAACTGCCAAAAGCTTAAATGGGAGTGTTAAAAAACATAGAAGGAAAGCTATGTCTTCAGAGAGTGAATCATCTGATAATAACTTTGGCTTAAAAGTGGGAAAAAGTTATACAAAAAGGCAAAATGGACGTGAGTCTTCTAGATCTGAAAGTGATGTTACCTATAGCTCTAAAGTAAGTAAAAGAATAGCAAAAAGAAAACATAAACCTAAATCTTCTTCCTCTGAATCCGATCATACTCACAGCTCAACAAAAGGAAAAAGGAGAACCAAAAGTCACAAAAATACTAAAAATAGTGATTTGTCCAGCTCAGAAACTGATGATTTAGGTAGTTCAAAAGTCACAAAAAGAAATTCAAAAAAGAAAAAGAAACCCGAATCATCCAGCTCTGAAGAAGATAGCGAACCAAGCTCTTTAACAAAAAAACTGTATAAGAAGAAATCAAGAAAAGTAACTAAAACATGTTCAGATGAATCATCTGATAGTGATGCAGTTGCAAACAAATCTAGGTCTACAAAAAAGAAACATATGAAATATTATAAAACTAAAATGAAAAATAAACTGACAAAAAGAAAGAAAGAAAAAAGTTCATCGGATTTGTCTAGCAATGAGGCGAAAGAAAAGTTATTAAAAAAGAGAAAGAGATCTCACAAACAAAATTCATCAAATGATTCATCATCTGAAGATGATATTAATGTAAATAAACATCAAGAAACTGTATTAAAAGACAATATCAAAAAGTTAGTAAATAACAGTCCACAAGCTGATTCTATGAGAAAAGATTATGATAAAATGGAGGCTGATGAGACAAAACTGGACTCCACGGCCAGTCTCTCCTCAAAAACTGTGGAAACAATAGATCAACAGTTAAAAATGAGTATTACAGGAAATACGCCTTTGGAAGATAGGGAATATTCATCCCTGAAAAAATTGGATGCGGAAGTTTGTAACAATTCAATAACTGTTGAAAAACAGAACAGTGAAATCAATATCCAAGGGAATGAAAAACTGACTACTTGCCAAAACACAACTGAACCAAATATCAAATCATTAGCTCAAGAAAATTCATTACATAATGAAGACGAATATACGTTATCATATCACGGGTCAAGTTCACATTCTGATAATCAAATGCCTCTGAGTCAAGAAGAAGAAATAAAGGTGAAAATTGACCTGGCAATCGAATGGCTTGTTGGTGTATCAAGTGACATAGCAGAACTTGGGAGTTTAATTGCCAGTCGTTCACAAACATTTGGTAAAACCAAAGTAAATTTAGAAAAAATACATTCATATGAAGATGTGCTATCAACTTCAGAAAAACTTAAGCAACTTTTTCTAAATATTCATTGTAATTATAAACAAGTTGAAGACGGTTTAGAAGACAAATTTAAATCTTGGAAGATATTGGCTGGCTTAGAAACATCTGATTTATATGATCAAGACTTTGATGATGGTGAAGTGCAAGCAGCTACGGAAACAAATAATGGTTGTGAAGAAACCGAACCTGGCATAAACAGTGAAGTTGATGATCAAGACTTTGATGATGGTCAAATGCAACCAGTTACAGAAACAAATAATGGTTGTGAAACCGAACCTGGCATAAACACAGTGGATGATCAAGACCCTGATGATGGTAAAGTGCAACCAGTTACAGAAAAAAGTAATGGTTGTGAAACCGAACCTGGCATAAACACACTAGATGATCAAGACCCTGATGATGGTAAAATGCAACCAGTTACAGAAAAAAGTAATGGTTGTGAAACCGAACCTGGCATAAACAAAATAGATGATCAAGACTTTGACGATGGTAAAGTGCAACCAGTTACAGAAACAAATAATAGTTGTGAAACAGAACCTGGCATTAACAATGAAGTGGATGAGGTAAAACTACCAGATAAAGACCATCATATCGCAGAAATCAAAGTTGAAACTGGAATGTTTTCCGAGGTTAAAACTGATATGTGTTCTGAAATTGAAACTGAAATGAGCTCTGAAATCAAAACTGAAATATGCTCTGAAATTGAAAGTGAAGTAGGTCTTGTAGTTGAAACAGCCTTGCTTGCATTGAATAAAGACCATACTGGTAAGCCCTTGTCAAATGACGTTGAAGAAAATAATGTCATACACAATTGTTCAATTAAAGAAGAAGTTTTGGATATTGTAGAAAAGGGAAATCTTACGGAAGAAGGAGGGTGTGAACCATTAGGAAAAGGTGAAACATTAGAAGAGGCTGTTGAAGTGAATCAATCTTCACTCATTCTAACGGAAGGAGAGCTTGAACCATTAATTAACAGCGAAAAATTAGAAGAATCAAACCAATCTTTACTCAGTCACAAATCAGAAAAGGAAGAAAACATATCAAATAATTTAAAATCAAAGTTCCGGAGAAGCTGCTCAAATCTGATTTGGAAAGGTTTATTGTCATCTGACGAAGAATCATATTTAAATGATGAAATTTCTCATAATCAAAGTGATGTTGAAAAATCAACTGTTGAAGAATCGCAAGAGGTGCAAGAATCGCAAGAGTTGCACTTAGATAAAGTACAGTCTGGTAATATTGAAAAAGAGCCAGTTGATGAAAAAGAAGCTGCAAATTTTGAAGCTCTACAAGAACTATTGTACTCCAGCACAGATCCAGATATTGGTAGTTCTGAGAATGATTCAGACGATTCGTCAGACATACAACTAGATGACTCTGACCTGGAAAACATTCTTAAGGTAATATTCTAGAGCTATTCAGCCTTTTAAAACTCTGTGTCTATATTGGGAATTGCTAATTTATTTGTTACTCTTAACCAGCAACCTTCCACATTAATAATGTAGTACCACTGTTTTTGATGGAAGTTTATAACTGTTTGAATGTATGCGGTTACAGTAATCTATTTTATATTTACACTCAAATATTGCATACTAAAATAACAAATGATTTCAATGAATTTATGAGTATTCATATTTACATCTTAGGCCCTACTCGTATTTAAATTAAATATTGTTATCGATATTCAAACAATTAAATTGCATTAAGCCAAGTGCAGGGTTTAAACAAAACCTGTACATTAGTGTTAATATTTGTTTTCTACATAAAAAAGTGTATAGGATTTTTAAAACTTTTTTATGTTTAAGTCTAGTTTCTGTCTACTTGTAGACCTACTCAAGACTTCATAATCAATTTGGGAGAACATTTTTTCCTGTAGAAAAATAAATCATTCTACCACAAGACAAATTTGGTGATAAGCTACAAGCTCACACTGAGACCAAGACATAGGCCTAGTGATTTTAGTTAGTTAATAGTAGTTTGGTAAATGTAAAAGCACTTGTTGGATGTCATTCTTTGACAAAATATTGAAATGATATAGCCTAACTGTTGACTTTGTTTGTTCAGAATTGGTATTGCTATGTATTTTGCATTTTTGTCCCAATAGCCAAGGAAAGTCATCACAAAAAAATCCTCTAAAAAGAAAGGATCCAAAGGAACAAAAGCCAAATTACATGAAAAATTAGAAAGTGAAGATGGTGAAGAAATTGAAAAAGAAAAAGAAAATGTTGAAGAAAATCCTCAAGAAAAAAAAGTGGAAGAACCTATAGACAGTGAAGCAGAAATTGACATGTGAGATATTTTCTTAACAAAATAATAGGCTGAAATCTATATAAATAAAATTAGAGTTTTGTCCGTACATTGCTCAGAATTACATATTTTTACGTTTTATACATTAAAGAAGCAGAAACGAGTCTTATCTCTATTTCTATCTGTCTGTCTGTAACACTCAAGATGGCATTTTACGCTATCTTCTCCAGGAAAACGAGAGTACCTATCAAGATCCAGGTCATTTTAATGTATTCACTGGATTGGCGAGAGTGTCTTTAGCCATTAAAATATGGCCTCACTACTTAGTAAATAAAATTACGGACGTTCAAAAATGCAGTTTTGTGCGTTTTTTGTCAAGTTTTCGTCCAATTTTTATCACATAATCATCTATGAAATAACGAACCGCTGTTCGGATCAAGATTATTTTTTCTAGCTGTCACTGATATGTTTACAAATGCTGTTTACAAATACCGCAACCATTTTCGATCACGTTTTGAAAGCAAATCCCAACCAAGTGAGATTAAAAACGTTTTTCTTACATAGCGGATTTAATATAGTGTAACCGTAAATTAAATTAAATAACTAGGCATCATCCAGGTCATGAACCAGAGATTCTTTGTGTATAAAATTGTTCTTGAGTTTTGATAACCAGAAAGAAGACCTTAAATCAGTGATGTATTCGGCTAGGAAACTTAAATTTATTAATGATCGTCGCCAATAGCTTAGAAACAAGGTTTCCACTCATTTACGGCACTTCAATGGCGGTTGTGTAAAGTGTAAAGTAAAAAATCACAACTGCAGTGGGTGATTGTAACAGAGGTTTACGGATGATGCTGAACTTGCTTTTCCAATGTGTCACTTTCTGTTCCTACCATTGACTATGTAGCCTATATAGTCGATAGTTCCTACTCACCGTGTGATGCAATCACTGGACCATACAGCCAATAGGCCCATAGCCCCAGGGCCGGATCTACAAAATATGGGCCCCCTGCAAAAATCCTCCAAGGGCCCCTTGAGCGCATCAATAGCAGGGAGGCCTTATTTGCGGAAGGGGGTGAAATGTTTAAAATATAAGTAGTTGAAAATAAATTTTAACGCTATTTTAAAAATAAAATATTGATCCAGTTTGTAAAAAAACATTTTCGTTAAAATGCGTAATTTTGTATATTTATGAACTAAAAAAAACAGCAAACTTCAAATAAAGCTTTTTTATTCTTATGTCAATAGGATTTCTTAGTCTTTCAAATAAGTTTACAAATTAAAAAATGCATATTGTACAAAAAAAGTAAAAGGTTTTACATAAAGAATTTCAAGCATAAATAATAATGTAAAATAATAAAAAAACGACTCAATTTAAACTTAGTTTCTTTTTTACTATACTTTCAAGATAGATAGGCCTACATACAAATCATGGTTCCAGAGGGTGATCTCTTAGTTTTGGATTTTCTCGTTATCACAATCAAAGTTATTTCCCATTAATTGGGAAAAGTACCGGTATCAAGTATTGTCGTCGAAAAGGTTGTTATGAATAATAGGGTAGGCGTACGTACCCAAGAGATGGGCTATGCAGGGCCGGATCTAGGAACCGCGAGAGGGACAGAGGGGCCAAAGCCCCGGTGCCCCGGGCCGGCCTGGTCAAATGTGAAATCTTCTGCACATGTAATCTGCTAAAATCAAAGATTTTAGCATGGTTTTTTAGTTCACATATTAATTTTTGAGTGGAATATAGTTGTTGCAACTATGAGCAAGAGAATTAATCAAACTATCATGCGTTTTAGATAAATGTTTAACAAAACGGCATGGAGGCGGCTAGACACTAAATCGGGAAAATAGGGGGCCGGGGATCGCTTAGCTCAGAGGCCCGTGACGGCTCTCGCCGGCCCTGAGGTCGTTAGATAACGCTACAGAGGTTATTTATAAGTCCCGCCTGTATACAGACTTATTGCTCAGCTCAACTGATAGTTGACTAAGTTGACACTACGTCCACGTCGATCGGACTGTAGTGGATCTGTGAAGCGTGCACTGCAGCTGACGAGCTGACTGGACTGAGCTGAGCATACAGACTGGACTGACTGAAAGTGACAGTAAACCACAGATTAAACTGTCTACGGCGAGGTCCTGAGTTGTTGACGAGTGAAATCAATAGGTCCAAATTTACTCAATAATTGTAACTTTAGCTTTGATATATACAATATTTGTCTGTCAAAACTGAACTTACCGTCCTATTCAATTATGTTTATATGCATTACAGTAATTTTAAATTATAAAGCTCTTTGGGCCCCCTAAGGGCTTGCGGGGTTTCGCGGTTCCTAGATCCGGCCCTGCATAGCCCATCTCTTGGGTACGTACGCCTACCCAATTATTCATAACAACCTTTTCGACGACGATCCTTGATACCGGTACTTTTCCCAATTAATGGGAAATAACTTTGATTGCGATAACGAGAAAATCCAAAACTAAGAGATCAATACCTTGATTAACGCATATAATGGTCGGATGTACTATAGTTCTTTACTGTAAACGTTGGTTTTTGGTTCTGGTTCTTTTCCTTAGAACCGTTGGTAGCAGCAAGAATCATTTTTACGTACCAACACATCACTGTAATTTACAAATTATTAGTTATCGTTGGTGTTGCGCCTTATTTATTACAGGCGTATTCAATTTAACTGTATAAGTTTTGCTCTTTCTGTCTGGATTCCAAAATGTTAGTTTATGCTAAGAAAACGATAACGCATTTTAGTAGGCCTAAAACATTTATTCAGCAAACCATCATGAATTGTTTAAAAGCTTTACGTTGTTTATGTATCAATAGTTCATGGCCTATTTTGGTATTTTTTATTATAAATTACCAATCTTAATCGTCTATAGTACTTCATTTAATTTAGTAAGCCGTCATTTTGATAGCATTTTGGGTAATTTTCGGTCCAAGCAAATATAAATTCTTATGATAAAATTTGATGACAATAACAAAGATTTAAAATAGGTACTAATTTTATATGTACTTTGTTATGCTTAAAGCGTAGCAAATTCCCTTATTAAGTTACGTATTTATGTGTGTATGCCTGTTGGTAAAGCATTAATGTCCTTATTTCTCAGTATTTCACGGAAAGGACAAGAGCACCTTGATAATGAAAATGTCAAACCAAATAAAGTGTTACATTGTGAGGTTGAGGTAGTACCTTAAATACTTTAAACCATTGTGGAAAGTAACTTTCAATTGCAGGCCTAACTTAGGGCTATGCCTCATAGATCTATAAAGCATTTTTTAGTTTAATCATTGGATTTAACATATGGACCAACACGATCCGGGTAACATTTAATTGCGAAGCATTTGTTTTGGCTTGAAACTGTCAGATACTGTATTTGCGAATGTTTATATATAATATTTTTGCTAGCATATCTGAAAATATGCAAACCAACTAGGTTTCAACTGACTACGATAAGATCCCCTGTGCGTAGAACGGGCATACAGCTAGTACATTTTATAAAATATGTGCTGTGGTAAATGACTTTAATTTATTTTAACGGGAAAATAACCTCATCTCGTTCAGGATTAGGTTTTCTCTATACACAGAAGATGAAAAAAGGAAAATTGTGCAACATTGAAATATTTGGTGTTAACTATATTAGTTGAGAAAAGTAATAACGTTTGGTAGTAACTTTTATGAACAATAAAAAATATAAAAAACTGTCACAATTTGTACCTGTTGTAGCTCTGTCCTTTACCTTCAGTAAAATTTACTGTATAAAGTTTGTAACAAGCAGTTGTTGGGTGTAAAAACAACTGTGATCAATCAATCAATCAATTTATTTATTGAACTATAATGAATACATGCATATTATACAATAGGTGCAAAAACCATACAAGGCTTGTCTGCACCAACATATTATGAAAAACATTTTTAGTTAATTAATATATAAAGTTGAGTTCAATCAGCAATCAACACAGTTCTATGAGTGTCCTAACATTCCATTGAGAGTTACATGCATAATTATATTATAAAAAATAAAGTGATAAAGTGTTGCAGGATGTTTATCTTTCTATGCTGTGTCAAAGAGTGACTATTATCACTGACGACCGGGCCCAGTCATCCAAAGGACCTAAAACCTGTTAAATCCCTTTCAAATTGGATCCTGGGGGTTTTTGGATCTTGGGTTACTTAAAATGTTTCCTTCATTTCAGTTCAATCAAATTTATTTTCATATTTTTTTATGATTTTACATTTTAGGCCTGAATTTTTGCAAAGTTGCATGTCATATTTGTTTACGCCACTGCTTCCTACCAAACATGTGACTGTCAAAGTAGTCAATAACAATTAAATATTTAAACATTGTGTTACTTCTTTCAGAATTTATTGTAATAAATTTGTTCTTTTGGATACCGGTATTGATTATATTAATAAAAGTATTCTATTACCTTACAATATCCGTGGGTGTTGGCGAAAACTACATGTTTCGTGGCGACTGCCACACCATCAGGTTCATTCTACAGTTTGTCATACTTTAAAATTGGAACACAAAACACACGTTGATAGGACACATTTAACAAAAGACTTTACATTAATAAGAGCAACGTCGCAGTGTGTGTTGTTTGGTTGGCTTGGTAGTGACTGATATTGTAGTGTCCCGTTCAAGGTCAAGTGATGTGTTGATCAACACATGTAGATGACATATTACCATTGTGATTAATTTGTTCTCCCTTAATGTATGAAATGTCTCATCATTATTCTCAATTCACCATTTTCTCCAAACAGGCTGACTGACCTATCAAAGTTAAAGAAGAGGACAGTAGTAAGGAGAGTAGAGGAAGAAGTGAATGGTGATGAGAGTTCATCTGAAGCTTCAGGAAGCAACGGGAGTCACGGTGAAGAAAGAAAAAAGCGTAAGAAATACAATACTGAGGTAAAGAAAAAGAGGGAGCAGGAGAGGAATGAGCTATTCGGATTTTTAGAAGGAGACTCCAGTGCAGAAGGTAAATCTTAAAAGTCTATTACCGGTACTGTATAAAGAATTTGCAAAGTGTAAAATTGTTCTTTTATATTTTGACTTCATTGTTGTAGTGTATCGGACTGAATATGATTAATAGGTAGGCCTAAAATATGTTATTCATAGGTTTCATGCCTACTTAACTCCATTGTTTAAGTTCATTCTGCTTAAAACTGGCAAACATTATAAAATCTATTCAATAAAGTAAGCTTAACATAGTGCTTGATAATTATGAATTGACGTGCTATAACTGTAACTGTAACCTACCCTTATGACGCATAGTACTGATAACCGATCGGCCTGATAGATCACTTTAGCATCAAGGAAAAAATATAGCTGTCGGGCCTACTGCTCTGACGTTTTTTCCTCCACTTTAGTGATACTATATGCATCGTGAATGCTTACTAATAGCAAATTAACACATTTATAATCAATAGTTCATTGTAATCGCAAGAACCAGGTTAGTAAAAATTTGGTGCCATAGGTATAAATTGTCGTGGCAGTTAACGTGTTAAATTGAAAACAAGTAAGAAGTAGTTTTGAGAGATTATCTTTAAATAAATATGACGATAAACATCTTTCATCACACAGGCAAAAAGTTTCTTTTCAACCTCGCACATTTTCCAACCTCGGATTCGCCTCGATTGTTAAATTTGAACTTGGGTCGAAAATGGCCAGTTTATGCCCTAGTAATGAAATATACTGTTCTTAATAGTTATTGAACCAATATATATATATTTTTAATATCTTGGTTGGTACAGCTCGTGACATCTAAGCTGGCACGTGGCCAAGCACGGGCAGTGTAGGCGTGAGGAGGGTGTAGGTAGGTAAAAGACCGGATTGCAAACATTTCCGCTGCCTCACGGGGTTGACTCCCCTTGTATAATGGACTTGAGCGCCTTCTCATGGGTCGCGAGGACAGCTGATGCAACCCGCATGACGGGACATAATGTTTTTGAGCTAGGTACTAGTAGCGATCGGCCAAGTGCCAGCTTAGATGTCACAAGCTTTACTCAAAATGTGTTTTTTTTTTTTTTTTACCCTTGGCTCGTTAAAAAGATTGTTTATAGGTATACTTGCATGTCAGGGATATTTTTATCACTACAAGAGATATTTTTTTACTGTTCAGTGTCCTCTCATCACTCATTCATTTCATCTGTTAATCAGTTTTTTTGGATGGAATCTTTCTTGACAGTAAATATAATTTATGTCCCGGGACAGTTCACTTGTTACGATTACTGAGTTTAGTTGAAGATTTATACTTAAAAGCTTAGCATTTTTTTATATACCATCAACTTGTTGTGCTCTTTAGTAACCATATGGTCTTGAACCCCCTCAGTAAAATGCTCATTTGTGAAATAGAAATCTCTGAGAACCTTTTAATATTTCATTTCTGTTATAGATGAAGTTGACATAACCAAGAATGACTTGGACCAAATAGAAGACCAGTATGCTTCTGGTAGCAGCGAGTCCATGAGTATGGAGACATTCAGTCGTAAGATGAATGAGAGGTGGCGAGAACTGGAGAAACAGCAAGATCAGCTGAACTTGCAGTTGCTGCTGGCCTCGGAGAGTGACCAAGGTAATCAAGGAAATCATGGGAACAGTTCTTAATTTCAAGAATAGATTCCTCTAATTCCGAAAAAAGAAATTCTAGAAACTGTTCAACATTTCTGTGAATATTGTCCTCCAATCCTGATAGGATTTGGGGATGTTCCATATTTTAAAAACATGATTAGTGATGGTTGGATCCGGATATCGGACTACCAAAAGTAAACATATAGAGATAGGTACCCTTTTGGTGGTTGTGCAAACTTAGCAGGAAGTTGGAATTCTGTATCCATGATTATCCGTATCCATATATGTTATTGACGTCGACTTACTGTGACATCGCCTAGCATATGAGTTATGACGTTGACATAGCTGTGTCATTGCCTAGCCATAAAATTTATAGACGTTGACATATTCTGTGACATTGCCTACCCACATAAGCTATAATATTCATATCTTTTTACATCATCCTTAAAATTTTTAACAGTATGATTTAAATTGGATTTCTTTAAATAATAAGTTTTTTTTTTTAACCCGTTCTTATGACAATAGGCAATATGTATCTATTCGGATCCGAATCAGAATTTTTCAAGATCCAGATCCAGTACCGACATTTTCTTGAATCTGCCCATCACTAAACATGATACAGTAAAACCCCGACCAACCGTAAGAAAGCAGACAAAGCTGCTTTGGATAATCTTTACATTTTGGTTATACTTTGGCATTTTTTCCAGTTAATCTGTGGTAGGAATTTATATGCTATGTCTTTTAAAAGGGAGATCTACAACAGTAGTTTTTTTTTGTTATTTGAATTGCTGTCATTTTAAATCCTACAACTTAATGCACAAAATCTATTTCTAAAATAATTGAAAGTTGTTTTTAAACTTTAGTTATATGATCTGCATGAGCTCATTTTGTTGTATGCCTTATTTCATCCCGTTGGTTTTATGGTTGTTTTTAAAACTTCATTTATATATGATCTGTATGAGTTCATTTTGGTGACTTATTTCATTCCGTTGGTCTAGCCAAACCAATTACTCACACCACGATGTGTAGTCTTGTTGTCTTGCTCATTTTCTAGTTGATTTGAATTGTTTAATGAGGATTTTGGACATTATGGTTAACACAAGTTTTTTTTTTAAAGGGGGTTTTACTTCATGCGATGTCCAGAAATATAAAAGCTACCAAATATCCGCTCAGTTTTAACTTTTTTATACCTATATTTTTTTACAATTTCTTTAACATGTGCTAATTTTTTAGGTTCTGTTGATGGAGATGATTTAGTTTTGGAGTCAGATGAAGACGAGAAGAAGAAAAAAGGTAAACGTCTGCCTTAATACCCTTATCCAAAACTATTTTATAAAAAAAAATTCCCAGCAAAATATTGTAATTATAAAACCTTATTGTCATATTTCTACAGAAAAAAATCCTTTTTGTCATATTTATACTACAAAACTAGGTGCACAGCTGCTTAAGTAGACAAATTAAGCTATTTACTGTTCATTTTTTAGCGAATTTCGTCCTTGAAGCCCTTTGCAATTTTCGAAGTTATGTGTGTGTGTGTTATGCGTGTGTTTGAATGTATGTGTGGATGTGTACAGAGCTACCGACTACACCTGTGGTCCGATTTTGATGAAATTTGGCATGTAGGTACTAATCCATGGTAGCCTATCTCCAGGTGATTTAAAAAAAAAATTTTAGTTTGATTTTAATGGCGATTTTCCTATAAAAACTCATAAAATAATGGAAAAATCGAATTTTTTCAAAAATGGCCTGACCGATTTTGATAAAAATTTAGTATGTTGTAGTCCTTTAAATTCTGAACAAAATGGTATAACTCCCATTTCAGTAAAAATTACGGTTCAAAAGTTATTGTATTATGGGTTTTCCCCATAAAAATCCCATAAATAACCAAAAATCTGATTTAAAAAAAAAAACAGGTTTTGATTAAAATTAATGTGTTATGGTCCTTATAATTCTAAACAAAATAGTGCAACATTGCTGTAACAATTACGGTTTAGAAACTGTAAAAACAAATACCGGTTTACCATTATCAAATTAAAAAAATTATAATTTCAGGTAAGAAAGCCAAAGAAGATAAAATAAATAAAGCTGTAGATGAGGCAAAAGAAGAAAAAGAAGACTTGGAGAAAGACGATGTAGAGAAAGATGACAACGATAACGACAATAAGGACGAAGATGAAAAGGAGAATGGTGACAACGACAAAGATGAAATTAAAGTTAAGGAAGAAGGATCAGAGCTTGACCCAAATTATGAACAGTTTCTGGAGGGCTTGACTAAAACAAAAACAACATTTGTCGGGCTTGGATCATCCTCAGACGAAGACAGAGACAAAGAAGAGATTGATATTAAGGAGGAACTGCTAAGTGAAATGGACACTGAAGTGAAGAATGAGCCGAAAGACAGTGATGACGATGGTTCATCAAAGAGTGATTCTTCAGCAGATTTATTTTTGGTAAGTTGAAAGTAATTATTATTTGGTATTCATCCTTTAGGGTATGATTAAGTAAATGATTATATATCATAGCTAATAATCTATTAAGTAAAAACCTACTTTCAAGAATGACATGCATAAATTACAATTTTTAGTCTACAAATCATGTAGCTATTGAATATTTTGAGGTGAACTAAGCACTCTGTTGCGATGGTAGGCTAACAAAATCCACTTAAATGAACATTCAGTGATAGAGGCAAGATAGTGATTAAAAATTTTACCATTAGCATATATGTGCCCAGATAACAAACAATTTTATATCTGTACAGTAATTTTGTATCAGTGTCATGAACTTGCAAGACAAATACCAATTTGTTCACAGGACTTAACAAAAAAAAAGTCAGATAAAAAAAAGATTTGGCGACAACATAAGCTGCTTCGGATGAAACTTTCTGGCACAGACACAAGCGATGAGGAGCGCTGGTGGAAGCGGCGGATTGAAAGAAAGAAGAAGAAGAAAGAGGAGGGTGACAGGTGAGATGATGATTTTAATGGACCAAGTTTTGAAAAAGTGTTTTTTACCATGGGACACTACTTATCACTTTGATTTTAAAAATGTGTAAACGGTGTTGATCAGGGACTCTTTCTATAACCTACTTAAGTGAAAAAAACAGAAATGTTATGCAAAAATATACTTTTCTTTAAAATAAGTGCAAGGTTAATAAAGTGTTACATTGTTTTAAGTAGGTCAATAAAAAAATAATTCAGAAAAAAAGTAAAAAACCTGTTTTTAAATGTTTTATTTACATAGGCTACTTGTTTCAGTTCTATAAATGCAGGATATTAAATACATATTTTTATTACCATCATTTTTTATTGTGGTTTTTATTTTGGGCTGAAAAAGAACATTTATTTTTGCACGTGAATAAGGATCAGTACTAGTTCAGAACACTAGTTCAGTACCCAGTTCAAAATGTTGTTAACACTTTTTTATCTTTTATCTAAGAGTGATGGTTTGTAGACGATCTGTGATTTACATAGCATTAGGACGATCTGTAACATCCAGAGTTTACTATAGTGTATCTGTGAAAAGGGAAGTTTTAAGTTAACTATTTGTAACTATTTGTAACCTTGAAGTGTGTAACTAAGGTTTATTGCTTGCAGTGAAAGCAGTGAATTCGATGAGTTCACCCACACACTCAGGTAAAGCCAACTGAATGAGCAAATGTTGGCAGTTGGGTTGAGCTGACTTTAACACTTGACTTTGTCATTGAATACTTCTTCTTTTACAATGATACCTATTTTTTTTTTAAATACATATTTAAAATAATTACTTCTTCATAAAAAATCAGGCAATGTCATTAAAAAATCCGGTCGAAGACTATCTCAGCTTTGCCACATCATGGTTTTGCAAAACGGCTGATTCTCTAAACACAGTAGAGTGTCATAAATCCAAACCAATTGGGACCGTAGCTAGTTCAGATTACTGATTTGTTTGGGTTTTAAACATAACCTATAAATGCCTAATAGACATATAATTAGGTCTACAATATTAAAAATACAGTTCTCGGATACAGTAAATGAAATAAAAACAATGGTTTTGTTTTGTACTTACGTAAATTCAGTACATTACTTTAGTTGGTTTCTTAAAAAAATATGACGTAAAGTTCATACATTGGAAACGAACAAAACACTGACCAGAATCCAGCGTCTGCTGGATCTTCGTCATTGCACTGTAAAACATCAGTTCTCTCGATGCTATTGTAATACAATATTTTAAAAATCCTCAGAAGCGGTTCGGGATTTTGACTCTCTACTGTATACCTATTAAATACCAATTTGTCGGGGCTCTCACCGGGAAACCGAGAATTTAGTGATCACACCGGCCGCTTGAGCCTAGGAATGAAAACAAAACATTACTAGTCTTACAGAAACTACAATTGTGTCCGCTCAGCCCCACTATTTCAATAATTGCATGCATCATGCTTTTTGGGCTCATCTGTTAAAGATTTTTTTAATTAATGAAGTTATTTTTGTGTTTGTTTGATTATATTCTTTTTGAGAATCATTATATATTTCATTAGCATCTTGTGATCTGAATGAATAAAAATTTGGTTGCACAATGTTTTGTTTAAATAGCCATTGTGAGAACTCAATAAAGTATTATCAATTCATTACTACATAACATATATCATACCAGTTATTTCAAAAATATTAGAAATTGCATCTCTTTTGAATCATCATGTAGTTAAGGATCTCATATAGGGATGGACGGGATTGAATTTTTTGTTCGGGACAGGAAGGGATTTTTATTTCCTTCCCAATTTTCGGGACGGGACGGGACGGGATTTTTTCCTGTGCATAAAAAGAAAGTATTGAGTATTTCAGTTACCAATGAAGACAAACAAAATCAATTTTCACCATTTGTGGCACTAATCTATAACTACAAAAAAATGGGTAAAAATTTACAGGTATAGAAACTTGTGACTCGCGGGCGAAATGACTTGCAGTCACGGTGCGATCGTCAAAATGACTCACGGTCACGACAGGATTGTCGGTATGACTCCGCAGTCACGGCGTGATCATCGGTATGACTTGCGGTCACGGCGGGATCGTCCGTATAACTCCACGGTAACTTCGCGATCATCGGTATGACTCCGCGGTCACGGGGTGGTTGTTGGTATGACTCTGCGGTCATGGCGTGATTGTCGGTATGACTCGCGGTTACTTAGCGATCGTCGGTATGACTCTGCGGTCACAGCGTGATCATCGGTATTACTCGCGGTCACGGCGTGATCGTCGGTATGACTCCACAGTAAATTCCGCGATCATCGGTATGACTCCGCGGTCACGGGGTGATCGTCGGTATGACTCCGCCGTCACGGCGTGATTGTCGGTATGACTCGCGGTTACTTAGTGATCGTCGGTATGACTCTGCGGTCACGGTGTGATCATCGGTATGACTCGCGGTCACGGCAGGATCGTCGGTATAACTCTGCGGTTACTTCACCAACGTCGGTATGACTTGGCAGTCAAGGAATGATCGTCAGTATTACTTGCGGTTACTTCCCGATCGTCGGTATGGCTCCGCGGTCACGGCGTGATCATCGGTATGAGTCGCAGTTTCGGCAGGATCGTCGGGATGACTCTGAGGTCACGGCGCGATCGTCGAAATGTCTTCGCCTCCTGCGTTCGCGGAACTATCGTGAACATCTCTCGCGATAGCGGCGTTATCGGTACTCGCTAATCGGTGAAATCGCCGACGATCGGATCAAATCCCGTCCCGAAAATTGGGAATATTATTTAATCCCCGAAAATTCCTGAAATTTCGGGACCTGTCCATCCCTAATCTCATATAATCATCATCATATTACTTATTGAATTAATAAATAACAAGAGACATTTTAGGCTAGGTAAAATTTTATATTACTGTATACATATTTTATTGTTTTTACTCAAAATATATTGTGGAACTATTTTTTATAAGAAGTGATAGGCTGATTCAAAATTTCTGTATTTCGATACAAAAATTATTCTAGATGGCATTCTGATTTGAAACCAAAGTTAGCACAATAAAAAATTAATGCAATCATGGTAGACAATCACAGTTTTTTCACGGTTGCAAGGAGACTCTGGAATTGGTTTTGAATCCAGAGTATTGTGAATCGAATATTCTTCGACATCGACACCCAAGATGGTGTTTATATTTATGTATGTTATATGCTACTTACATATAAAGATTATTTGAAATTGAAATTGTTTGTAATGAAGGTTCATGAAGGTAGAAATCATTGAATCTGAATGGACCCATCCTTAGTTACAAGTGCCCATCCCAAGCCTTCTTAAGTTTTCTGATCCATCAAATGTAAAGAAACTGAGAAACCAATTTGTAACCGATAAAATAGAATGAACAACTCAACAGAGCAATGAATGCCAGTTGAGAGGAACACTTTTAATTGTTTTTTATTAAGTAATCAATTAAAACAACATTTATAGATGAAATCAAACTAATTCATGAATTTAAATTTTTAGTTTATCTAAGAACTATTAACATTTATACAGTAGAGTCCCGATAGTCCGAAATGGTTGGGACCGGACTGGACCCATTTTGGATTACCAAATATTTCAGATTAAAATTTTGTTTGTATTTTGTATTTTTTTATTTGTAAAAATATTTTAATTTTTTTGTCCTAGGACGCTAGGCACGAGCCCGGGACTGTTCACATTACTATAGGCTAGACCTCGGGTTTGTGGCATTACCATTTAAATAAAATCCATTGGTGATTTGGCAGGATTGGAATCTGGGACGAAAATTAAAAATGTTAACGTTAACTAAAAAAATTGTGAAATATTTACTGAAATACTCTATACAACAAGTCTATCTCGCCCGGCCGCTACAGAATACTTCGACGAGGTACAGCTAACTGTCGTTACACGCAGTTTCAGATTTTCCCAATGGGTGACAGCAAGTACTGGGTCATCACTTTTACTTTCTCCCCCTATACCATAGTAATCCATGGTATCTCCAGGCGTTTTTTCATTTTTTTGAAATTTTGATTTTTAATGGGGATTTTCCCATAAAAACCCATAAAAAACCGGAAAAATCGGATTTTCTCAAAAATGGCCCAAACGATTTTGATAAAAATTTAATATGTTGTAGCCCTTTAAATTGTGAACAAAATGGTGCAAATCCCATTTCTGTAAAAATTACGGTTCAAAAGTTATGGTAAATTATGTTATTTTCCCATAAAAACCCCATAAAATAACAAAAAATAGGATTTTAGACAAAAATATGGTTTTGATTTAACATAGTATGTTATGGTCCTTACAATTTTTATAGTTTTTTTCATTTTTTAGAAATTTCTATTTCTAATGGGGATTTTCCAATAAAACCCCATAAAATAACGGAAAAATAGGATTTTCCCAAAAATGGCCCGAACGATTTTGATAAAAATTTAGTATGTTATAGTCCTTTATATTCTGATCAAAATGGTACAAATCCCATCTCTGTGAAAATTACGGTTCAAAAGTTATTGTAAATTATGTTATTTTCCCATAAAAACCCCATAAAATAACAGAAAATCAGATTTTCCCAAAATTGGCTCGAACGATTTTGATAAAAATTTAGTATGTTATAGTCCTTTAAATTCTGAAGAAAATTGTATAAATCCCATTTCCGTATATTTACTCTCACCGCTTACACATGATAAAGGTTGTTGACAAACTTATGGGAGAAAGTATGTGTCAGAATGCTGATACCGTTTATTTGTATCTAAAATAAACTGCAATAATGTCGTCACGCTACGGTGCTAGTAGTTTCGACTTTCCCCGCTAAGTAACAACAGCACATACTGGTAAAAAAAAATTAAATTAAAAATTTGTTTAAATAATTTTAAAAATAATTACTTTTTGGTTTCGGATTAAGCGGACTTTCAGATTACAAAAGTTCGGATTATCAGGACTCCACTGTACTTACAAGTGGTATAAGTAAAGATGTGGACATTTCGTACATATTTGTATCGGTATTTTTCTATGTTTCCTTGCTAATGTTAGCTGGTGAACCCACAGTTCAGGTTGAACGCGACCATATAAATATTGTCTTAATTTTGGCCAGATTTGGCAATTAAGGCAGAACTAAGCCTGTCTGGATCCATATAATAAGCAGATATAATATTTTTAAAGACTTTATTGTTCCTTATTCCTTTGGTTTTAGCTTTGAAAGAACTGCAAAAATATTTGTCTTTACACCTTTTAAGTTCTGTTTTCTTACATTTCGTACATCTAACATATGAAAAGCATTGCGTGTGTTCTACATTTAAATTGTCTAATGCCAAAAGTACTTGTTCGTGGGTTTATTGTTTGTCTTCGTTTTCTAAAAATATCAAGAAGCTTTTGAGAAAACATTTACTTACTTGGGCAGTTTTACTCAACGGATATTTAACTGACAAGTGTATTGCCGACGATACTCTCATAAAATAGAATTCCAATTTTCAATATGATGGGAAGTATAGAACATGTTGTTTAAACTCAAGTGGTAAATTGTGTTTTTTTGTTGCAGTCAAACCTCTTTAAGACAAATTCCAAGAGTTAGGGGAAAAATTTGTATTATCAAGGTTTAATACTGCCATTATTCGTCTTATATAGGTTTCTCTCTTATAAGAGGCACGTGAAAAATTTGTCTTAAAGAGGTCGCATTTGTCTTGTATAGGTTTTGTGCTAAGAATATTTGTTGTATAGAGATTAATCAGTCCCAGCCCATGCCACAAACAAATTCGTCTTTTGGAGGGTTTTAACCTAATTACTACATTGTATAGAGGTGTTTTTAGCATTAACCTTTATGGAAGGTTCAAGGGGAATTTAAAAAATCGTCTTATCTAGGAATTTGTTTTACCAAGATTTGTACTAACCAGGTTTGACTGTAATAGCCAATTTAGCTAAACCTGAATTTCACTATACGCTTGCTTATTAGTAAAAAATAGCTGATTTAAATTGTTTAAACTCTTAAACTTCTCAAGCTTTCCCATCATTTGTCGAAACAACCTTGGTAAACTTGGCTAGTTCAGCCGTTATTGAGTGATAATGTAGGTAAAGTTTGCTTTGAAGCCGATCCCAAAGAGCTTCTCTTTGCTCCGCTCAACAAAGATTAGTTTCTTCAGAATTATCATCTCTTTATATGCATGCCCTGTCGCTTGTCATGAGAAATGCCTCGTCATAGTAAATATATGATTTAAAAAAATCATTTACTAATAGAATTTAATTTTTTCTTTCAGCAAAAATAAATCTAGAGAGAAAAAGGAAAAGAAAGAAAATGGTTCCGATAAGGAAAACAAGAAGTCGAAAAGGGATAAGCGTAGAGAGAAAGAAACAGACGACGGAGCCAGTGGTTCTTCAACTTTGGAAATAAGCTCAACCGATTCTTCAGGTTCAGATATATTTAAGAAGAAAAAGAAGAAGAAGAATGAATCTAGTGACAGTGATGTAATGATTCTTTCTGACTCAGAGAAAAAGAAGTAAGTTTTCAATTGTAGCCTACTGGAACAAGCTTAAGAAAGGTTCTCCTTACTCTTTCTCACATATTTTGGTACTCATGTTTTTATTACGTTATTAAAAGCTCTGTCAAAACACTGAAAAACTGTATATTTAATCACAATTTCCTAGTTTTCAACATTGGACTTCAGTGGCCAACATTACATTGTGTGGTCTGTCTTGAAGAAATGTGTTGTTTTGTTAGGAATAGAATTGTTACGCTCTCTTGTAAAGTCAAAGCGTCTGTGGCCATTACTGAATGTTTCAAATTTAAATCTGTAATCGTAATTTTTTCAGAAAAAAGAAGAAAAAGAAAGGTAATCTTAGCGGAGATTCTTCAGATGAGTCAGGAGACAGTGATAATGATGTTATCGACATCACTCAAAAGGTATGTTATGAACATTGTATATGATTTTTTTCCTGTCATACTCAATAACCTATTTGTCATTCAAAAAATCACTGGAGATTTATCATTTCGATGATTGGAATTAAAATTATAATGATTAAGTATCTAGAATCTTATCTTTCTCTGATGAAACACTATTTAGAACATAACAAATTAAAACCCCCAAACTCTACTGTGGATGAAAAAACAAACCGTATAGTGAGAAGTTTGTAGTAGAACCTGGTTACAAATGCAAAAAATGACTACTAAATATGTTATAACTAAAGTTAAATTAACAAAAGTGGAAGGATCTATCATAGCTGACTGTGCAATGTGGGTTTTTTTTTGTCCTAGGACACTAGGCACAAGCCCGGGATTATTTTTCACATTACTTCAGGCTAGACCTAGGGGTTGTGGCATTATCACTTAGATTTAAAATTCATTGGTAATTTGGCGGGATTTTAACCCGGGACCTCAGGGACCGAAGTCCCACTCTCTAACCACTAGACCAGCTCGCTTCCCCAGAGCTCAAGGTGGTGGCTTCTATTAAACAGAATTGATTGTGACTGACACACTTAAAACATAGAATGACATACACTATCTTTGAAAAATTGATATGGCTTTAGCATTCCTTACTATTATAGGTTATTTTTATATTTCTCTCTCTCTTTCTACAAACATATGATACCTTATTTTCCAGCACATATATTTTAGTCATTAGTCCACAAATGCCCAGATATCCAATGAGAGATGCTTGTTACAGAGCTCGCAAGGCGAGTCCCCAGGCAAGGGTGGGCGCAAGAACATCCGCAAGGTGTTGACCAAACACGAGCTGGCTGCGGCCACCAAGGCTGCGGCCAAGGAGGAGGAGGAGCGTAAGAAAAGGATTGCGGCTCGCCAGAAACTGGTATGATACTTCTATCAGCTGATTGGAATAACTGGGAGTTATGTGTAATTTTGATGACTCGATAAAGTCTGTGAATTTGAATTGTACATTTGATATTTATGGTACTAGAACATTTTGAATAGTTAGTGTTTGTACATAGAAGATATATGTTCATTGGAAATGATAAATACCCCCGCTGCAGCTAACCTGGCGACTAAGCAAATACCCATTTGCCTGGATTGATTTTCAATTAATCTATTAAATTATCTTTCTGAAAGAGAGGTACCGCAACCGCAAATCGAGCACCGAGTGTTAGGATTGGTGAACAGAAAAATATTTAATTGTGAAAATTAAGTTGAAACAGTGTTCCATTTGATGTCCAATGAAAAAAAAACAAAAAAAAATATATTCAACTGGACAGAGAGATATTTCTTGAATCAAACAGAATTAATTTCTCATTTCAATGTGGATGATTGGAGTTTAGTGTTGTAATCTTAATTTGAAATACTTAAGTAAGTACTGAATAACAATTTTTATTTATTTCTTTCATAATATGCTTATTTAATTTGTTCATACTGTCTTTTCTTCACAGTTTAATGAAATGTTTGAGATCAAGGAAGCTGAAATTTTGGAGAAACTCGTTCTGGACTTTGATCCTGACACTAAGACTGAACTGATATCCGTAGACAAGGATCTAGTCACCAAAATGAAACCTCACCAGGTATTTTTCATGCATTTTATTGCAATTTTCAACCATTAACAAATTAATAACTTTTAAATATTATGTACTGCCAAGACTAATTTTCCTCAACAAATATTTACAAGCTTCTCTGATATATTCATAACTTACGCATGCAAGTCTATTTCCTTTTAAAAGATGTTACAAATTTCAAATTGTTAACTAAGAGGTTGTCTAAAAACTAAACCTCTGGTTTGTAAATTCAGGATATGCTCTTCAAAATAAATTAATGGAACTTAACATTATCGCGAATCATTGGCGACTAAAAAGTACACAAGGTTATATTACTTAATTATAGTGATGTAAAATACCCAGGTATTTAAAACTCGAGGTAAATACCCTGGGTATTTACCCGGGTAAATACCCAAAATCCATAAATACCCGGGTATTTTGGGTATTTATGAAATCAATTGAAATTCATTTATATTTACCCCTAAATATGTTATTGTTATCATTACATGATAAATTAGGATAGTCTATAACACCTTTTACAGTAACTTGAAACTTTGCTCGTTTAATGATTTAGCACTTTTTTTAATAATACATAAAGTTTCTAAATGAGCATGGGGTTTCGTGTCTTAAATCGAGTAACATTAGTTAAATTTAACCTTTGACTCAATAGTCAATGATTTAAGTCACTAAAAAATTTTCTATTAAAAAAGGCTGTGGTGATTTCAATTTTTATAATTTTATAAATTTATAACCAATTAAATAACATAAACAAAATATTTTAATTTATATATATCCAGGAATTATTGGGTATTTATGATGCAAAATTTTTATTGTATAAATGGTTTGGAAGGCTTGACAGATCTAAGGCCTGATTGACATAGGCAGAATGATAGAATACTTTAAAGTAATTAAACTTTTCTGTGTTACCGCTTAGTTGGAAACAATAATATATTTGGATAAACTTACTAAAAAAATGTATCTCCTGTTTTTTGGTATAACTTAATATAATTTTGAAAGATTTATTGTGCTATAGATTCAAATGTTTTGTATCACAAGATTATGAAATTAGTTTTTTTTTTTTTTTTTATACCATTGATACCAACAAAAGATCTAGAACAAAAATATTATTAAATCCTGCCATCCTACAGATTGAATTTTAAAATTATTTTCTTAAGTTGTTTACACATAGGTCACTACTAGGTTAAATTGTCCTGTCTTTCCAAATAATAATTATTACTTTGCAAATTTTTTTTTTTTACTTTCAATAAAATAAATTCATCTATCTATCATAGAAATTAAAAAATCATAAGTAGTCAGGACCAGTGCAACCATGCGACCAGGGTATTTATGCCGATTATGCTTTATGCGCAGACCTGGATATTTATGGCGATTATACCCAGAAGTAAAATGCCAGTAGTGACCATATGAAATTTTGTTTAACACATTTTATCATCATTTTACTATCCTTACAAGGTAATAATTGCAAAAAAACATCTAAATCTTCGCTAACTTTAATAAAAATTATAAATACCCAGTTTTTGGGTATTTACCCGGATTTATATTTACCTACCCACTGGGTATTTACCCGGCCCACATCACTACTTAATTAGCTTTAACAATCATAGTAATTCAGATACATAGCTAACTACAATGTAATAGAAGTATTCACTGTTTTGAATCTTTTTACTTATTATATCACTATACTGGTTTCGTCTATTTTTTTTTTAAATAATTATTTCTAAATAACTTCTTTGTCAGCATCGTACGTGTTATTAAATTACCTGAGAGCACAAAAAAAATGTCAAATAACACTTGTAATAATATATTTACACTTATACTGTTTAATAACAAGACGGTAAATACATATAAAAGATGGGAAGTAGTGATCGATTTCGATTGGACACTCCAATTATTATCAGACCCAATAGGCGTGGCGTGATGATGATTGCTTACCATCTTTTATATGTATTTAGCGTCTTGTGAGTAAACAGTATAAGTGTAAATATATTGTTACAAGTGTTATAAGTTATAAGTGTATTTGACATATTTTTTGTGTTTTCAAATAATTATTTAACGATTTTTATCTTTGAATTTCAAGTCTTAGCTAGAAAGTTTTACAAATAGACATTACAAAATTATTTCCTACAACCTTTGTTTTTGCATTTACAGGCTAAAGGAGTCAAGTTCATGTGGGATTCGTGTTTTGAGTCACTCAACCAGATGAAGAGCAAGAAAGGTTCTGGATGCATCTTGGCCCATTGTATGGGTCTTGGGAAAACCTTCCAGGTACAATGCCACCAATATATCAGTAATTCGCAATCATACACTGTCTCTTGGTTTTCCAGAATGAAACTGAAACTTATTTTTCAGCTTTAATACCAAGTAGGTATATCATCATCAAGCTCAGGCCCGCAGTTTGAATGTAAATGCTATATGGCCCCGAAATCTTTAGGTGAGTCGGTGGCTCAGTTGGTAGCGTCACAGACTTCGGGCCCAGGGCAGCGATGTCGTGGGTTCGGATCCTGGTCACTGCCGTAAACATTCTATCAGTACAGTTCACCTTCGTACTGTACCGGCTCACCCCTTGCTCTGTTCGATATGTTCCACGCACAGATCTGTAGTCTATGTGCCAAATGCAAGGTTACAAGAAGCCGCCAACCTCTTAAAAAGAAATATACTTGTCCTCTTCATTGGATTATATGCCATCCTCCACTCTTCATTTCAGGGGGTTTTTCTCTTCTATGCGTCCCGAACTAACCTTTTAACTTCTTGTGCTTCTGGGCCCGGGCCCATTAAGTAAAGTGGACCTGATCAAGATATGAGCGTGCAAGAGTGTGTCACTGAAATTAATTTCAGGACTTCTCTTAACTTTGCTGCTGGGTCACATTGTATACTGTTGTCTGACTTCATGATATAATCGTGGAGAAACTTTTGTGTATGAAAATCGTTTCAACCATATAAATTGTATGTTGTGTTATCATTTTGATTAAAAGATTAAATTTTTAAGTTAAATAAAAATTATTATTTTTTGAGTAAAATTATTTTCACTATACGAATTATCTTACTATCTAATAATGTTATTGTTTTGAATAAATAAAACATAACGTGCACAATTTAACTAACCAAATATACCTGGTAAATAGGGTTAAATCATCAGGCAATGCCAGCAGACTGATATGGCTTTCTGATATATCAGGTGGTCTCCTTGGTGCATACTATCTTGACTCACAAAGACACCAATGTCCGCACTGTGCTGGTAGTCTGTCCGCTGTCCACGGTGCTTAACTGGTACAATGAGTTTGACAAGTGGCTGGAAGATGTTGCGGGCGGACGTAACATCAAGATATATCACCTTACTAAGTAAGTATTAAGGATTTTTTTCATATTAGTTCCATCAGTATTTTTTTATTACAGGTACTAACTGTCAGATGTTACGTTTGTTTACCTAGGCCTACTACATTTTACATTCATTTTATTTACTGTCAGTTCATCATGATAACAGGACATTTGTCAGTGGTTAAATCTAAGACTTGAAACAAATAAATCTGTTTTTACGAAAACAATTGAACAATTCACTGACTAAAGTTCACCATGCGGTGTATTTAAAATGGTTGTTTCTGTAGTACTAGCCGTCCTTAAAACATCAGAACATTCGAAACTCTCTTTTACTTATTACATTTTCTTATTCTTTTTACTACTAGTCAAAATACATTGCAATTACTTCTACCAATCTATTTTAATAAAAAAAGCATCTCTAAGGGTATAGAAATAAGTCAAACGCCTAAGTGCAATCACGAGTGTCCTGAGGAAATTGATACAAACCAGGGCAATTGTCATGATGTTTTTACTAATGTTGATATCACAATTATCTACCATGAAGTGTGTAATGCATGGTGAACGTTCAATTGACTAGAAGTAGTTCCTGTGAGAATTTTGAAGTATGATAACTTGTAATTAAATAAACTTCTACGGTGACAGTGTCTGTAAACGTTGACTAAAAATAAATAATTATTAATCGAGAGTTGACTCCTTAATTACCTCTGCATCAGTATCTTGAAGTAAATATTTGATTGTGTCAGGTTCAAGAAGGCCTATGAAAGATCCAAGCAGCTATCCATATGGCATCGGAATGGTGGAGTGATGATCCTAGGATATGAGATGTTCAGGATACTAGCCAATCCAAATAGCAAAAAGTTTCGACTGATGCATACAGAGGTGTTCCAGAGTACTCTGATCGACCCAGGTAATGTCAGTGGTGTTTTCTTGTGTGCTCAATTTAAATGTTTAAATTTGAAATGAAATACGGGATTTTTATTTCCCTTATAAATCTTGGCATGGATTTTTGTCCCCGAGCTAGAAGGGTTTGTGTAAAAAATCTCAAGTGAACACTCTTGCAGATGGGGTTAATGAACAACATAAATTTGCAGTCTTTATGGCACTGATCTATAAACAACAATAATGAGTAAAAGTGCCATAAGTAACAAAAACTGTTTACAACAACAACAACAACAAAAAAATTACATATTTGGTGCTATTTATCTGTTGAAAAAATGACCACTAACTAAACAAAAAGATACACTTAAACCAACTATAACTGCATTTTTAAAACATTGTACACTTTTAAGGCCTGATATGATTACCATTTCCTGCGTTCACGGTACAACTGTAAACATCTCCCACGATCTCCACACCATTGTGAACATCCATTGCAAACACGGTGCAATCATTTATATGTCCTGAGATCTTAGCCCCAACATAAAAATCTTCCCTGATTATGGAGAAATTACCATTGTCTCCTGGGTGCGCAAAACCATTGTGAACATCTCCCACCATCGTGGAGACATCATCATCATAAATCAGGACACAGCAAAATCGCTATTGGTTGGAACAAATCCTTTCCCTTTGAATAAATTTAATCCTGTCCCAATGATGAGGAATATATTTTTCCTGAAACTTTGGAACTTGTTCATCCCTTAGTTGTGGGAATATAGGGGATGAATATTGCCAATATTTAATAACCCAAGTATTTTTCACATACCAAATTTTCACGGATCTGTTGCAAGGTGCGGACTTGGTGGTGTGTGACGAAGGACATATGTTGAAGAATGAGTCCACATTGCTATCCAAAGCAATGAGCCGCATCCGAACATTGCGGAGAATTGTTCTCACTGGCACACCAATGCAGAACAATCTCAAAGAATGTAAGTATTGTGCATAGACTAGAGTATAGGCTATAAATACACATATAAAAAAACAAGTGATCTTAAAAATGGAAATATTGAAATTCTCCTAAAAGATGATGGAATGAAAATGATATTCCAGACCACACATTGTTTCTTACAATTAGACTTCTGAAAACTGTTTCGGTGGTCAGACATATTATGATTTCTTCATGTCTGGACAGATCACTGTATGGTGCAGTTTGTGAAGCCTAACCTTCTTGGTACAAGGAAAGAGTTCCTCAACCAGTTTGTCAACCCGATCACCAACGGACAGTTTGTAGACTCAACGGAGGCTGATGTGAAGGTGATGAAACGCAGGTCACACGTGCTACATAAGATGTTGGAGGGATTAGTTCAGGTAAATCACAAGCACTTTTGTCAATAATCAAATAAAGGGGTCAAAGAGTTTTGTGAAATAAGTTAATGAGAAAAAAACTAGATTGACCTTAAAACTACAGTAGAGTCCCGTTAGTCCGAAATGGTTGGGACCGGGCCCATTTCAGATTACTAAATATTTCGGATTAAACTTTTTTTGTTTTTTTAATTTTTTTTTTTACTAAAAAAAAAATTTTTGTCTTAGGACGCAGGCACAAGCCCGGGATTGTTTTTCACATTACTTAACCCTTCCCGGACGGGCGAAATCGTGACATAGGACGGGCAAAAATCATAGGAAAAAATAAAAATTAATTTTCCTTTTTTGTGTTTTATTATACGAATATACATAAAATAAACACAATGGAACACTTCATACTGTCCAAATAATTTTTTACTCGTTTTTATTTGAAAAAAAATTATGCGGATATATCCGCTCCCCGTCCGCAGATGAGTAGAAAAGCTGCGGATATATCCGCCACCCGTCTTTGAAGATATGACTATGACAACGTTAGGTAATAAATAAAAAACAATATGTTGTTGCGTTGTTTATTATATAAAACTGTTTCAAGAAAATAACACTTCAAGAAAAAGTTGAACTACAATTTCAGTTTTCAAAAAGTTACAAAATCATTTTACGGGGTTTACAAGGTGCCTGTAAATAGTCCATTCTTTTAAAACAAGAAAAAATAACAATAATTTCAGTTTTCAAAAGGTTACAAAATCATTTTACGGAGTTTACAAGGTGCCTGTAAATAGTCCATTCTTCTAAAAATAGGGTATTTACTCAGGGGAGGTATAGAAGAGGCTACGATGACAGCTGAGTGCTTCTTATTAGCTGAGGGAACGCCATTACCGTAACAAAACAGTCGATAGCCATCTGCTTCGGTGGTTTAATGGTTAGCGTGCTGGGTTGATATACTGCAGGTCCCGGGTTCGAATCCCGCCGGTGGCATTAACTTTTTGTCCAAGATTTTTTTATTTTCAGCAAGTTTGGTTGGTTTGGTTTGGTTATTACAGTTTAATTTCATTATTAAGTCATTATAAAATTTTAATTGAGCAATTTCTAGTTTTATTTTATAAACAGAATTATTTTTCCGATTACTGTACTATAAACTTTTGTTATATTATTTCTTTATCAGCAAGTTTGGTTAGTTCGGTTAGGTTATGATAGTTTAATTTTGTAATTAAAAATTAATAAAATTGAATTTTAGGCATTTATAATTTTATTTTATGAACAGAACTATTTTTGCGATTAGTAAACCTTCATTGCCAAAGTGCTCTCTACTACAGCGCTGTTCACGGAGGAATTTTGAACTAAATGCCTCATTTGTACCTCCCCTAAGTCAGACCCTAAAAATAGTCTTTTTGGGTGTGGTACACCTCAAAACATGTGTCTGGATGTAAGTACGGTTTTTCGTCACATGTTTTACAAAAGTACACAGTTTCCTTACGAACTTTTTTCTTTGCACAAACATGACATCTGAAGGACCCCTTCGGTGATTTGCCCATAACATGGAGTTTTCCGTTCAGCCGTTGAATATCATTTTTCGGTCGTCCTGGTCGTCTTCTTGCAAAATTGCAGGTCTCCTGAACATAGTCTCTTACTAAATCTTCCACAAGGCTAAGTCTAAACTGTTTGTGAGACATTGCTACTCTGTTGTTGTCTTCTTGCAAGGATTGATATAGAATATAAGAGTTTATAGTAGACACTTCAAGGAGCCAAAAGAAAAGTTTGCAATACCATTTTTTAGTACGCCTCATAAACTGATAACTAGATATCACGTGGTCAGCACGATCAACTCCACCCATGTGTTTAGTGTAATCTAAGACAACATCAGGCTTTAGAACAGGAGGTTTATTTGGCCACTTGCTGGGCTTCTCTGTCATCTCATTCCGGCTTATTTTGTGTTTGGTTGTAAGCATAGTTACCACTCTTTTGTCCTTCCAATAAATAACACCCAAGTCTTTGTTTCTTCGTGCTTCTACATCACCACAATTGAGCGGTTTGCTTAGTGTTGGCATTTCCTTTCTATTATTCATAACCGTTCCCGTAACAAACATATTTTTCTTCAGCAACTCTTTAGCCAGTTCAGGGCTATTGTAGTAACGGTCGACGTATACATGGTGACCAGATGGAGGGTCCAGGGGATCTTTTACTAAAGAATCGCAGAGTTGTAGAACAGTATTTGTTGTTTTCAAAAGCTCATCCTCGTTACCATCACTTTTACCGTAATATGGGCTAAAACTGTAAATATTCAGAGCATCAGAAAGAACAAACACTTTTAGCCCAAATTTTACAGGCTTGTCGGGGTTGTAAACTCTGAATAAAATCTTGCCCTTGAATGAAATAGTGCTCTCATCCACTGACACATACGAGCTTGGCGTATAGAATAGTTTACATTGCTCTTGAATTGTGTTCACAATATTTCTTATTTTGAGGTCACGTGCGCTTCCCTGTTCATGACTAAAGTGTAATCTCCAAAACAGCATCAAAAACCCATCTCGAGTAAAAACATCGGAAAAAAAGGGCATCTTGTTTACCCAGGACAATGAAAAGTAGTCCTTTATATCAGGCAACGGGTGAAGTCCCATATTCAGTACAACCCCGAGAAGAGCTCGGATCTCTGTGGTTGTTGTATCGGCCCAAACCTTTTGTTTCCTTTGGTTTTGAATAGGCAAACTTTGAGCATATAGGTTGGTTTCATCACAAATCAATTGTATTAGATTACTATGAAAGTAAAGTGAAAAGAAATCAATTGGTTTTGAAGTGAGATCAAATTCTGTAGGCAGATTACGGCCGTTATTGCAGTTATAAATAGGAATAGTACTTACAGGTCCACTGTCACTGTCGGTCACAAAAGCATACTCCTTATCCCACTTCATACGAAGGAGTTTAGCTTTAGTTAGATTTGGTTGTTGTGCCTCTGTAGACCTCTTTTTAGATGGCTTTTTAGAGTTCTTTGCAAATGACTTTTTGGACGCCATTGTAGATTCATTGGTTGAACTATGAAGGCTTTCTTTTTCCGAGTCAATAAAACATGAGGCATTCCCAATGTCGTCCTCACTAACTTGTTCATCACTAATACTTTCCACTTGAACCACATTACATTCATCTTGAGGAACATCAGCGTCTTTGTCATTTTCGGATACAAAACCATTTACTATATCAATATCATTTCCATCGATATTTGCATTATTTACATCACAACTACGCACAGATATGTTGTCATCTTCGTCCAATTCCATTCCATCAACAGCAACATCACCCTCCGAAAAACTCTTGTTCAATAACTCAATAATATCACCAGAAAAACTAGTACTATTTACGTTATAAGCCATCGTGCATCACTATCTCATTCTGCTAGACAGACAACTGTAACGTTTGGCGCCAACACACAGACAACGTGGTGTTGAGCGCGAAACGTCGTGGGTGGTGTAGGAGAGGTGGTTGGTGTGAGGGAGAAAGGGGCGGCGCGGGAGAGAGGGGCAGCGCGGGAGAGAGGGGCAGCGCCTGAGAGAGGGGGAGTGCGAGAGAGAGCGCAGCCATGGATAGAGCAGGAAAGTGGCGCCTTGGTACCGCGAAACATCTGGTTACTGTTTAAGTACCTGCCAGTCTGTCTGAAAAGAAGGCGGATATAACCGCTTCCCGTCCGGAACATAAAAAACCATAGGCTGATATATCCGTCACCCGTCCTTAATCGCTAATGACTTATGCGGATATATCCGTCACCCGTCCGGGAAGGGTTAAGGCTAGACCTAGTGGCTGCAGCATTATCACTTAGTAAAATCCATTTGTGATTTGGCGGACGAAAATGAAAAATGTTAGTAACAAAAATGGTGAAATATTTACTAAAATACTCTACAAAAAAGTCTATCTCGCCCGGCTGCTACAGAATACTTTGACGAGGTACAGCTAACTGTGTTAAAAGTGTAATAAAAAACATTTCTAAAAATTTTAATTTTTTTTATAAGAAAATGTAAAAAATATATTTTTGGTTTCGGATTAAGCGGATTTTCGGATTACCCAAGTTTGGATTATCGGGACTCCACTGTAGTTCACTTCAAAAGTGTACGTTTTGTGAGAGAGGTGAACAAAATTTTATATTCTTGATATTTCTTGATACAGTTACCTAACAATGTACATGTTCTCTCACTGGTTTGAGAAAGTAAAGTGGCCAATTCGCTCATCAATGAGACAATGTTAACATTGTCTCACTCTAATTACTTTGTCTCACTCCAGATTTGCAACGTGAAGGCACAAAATAGTGAGCGCGTAACATGCAGACAAGGTCGTATGCACGCAAAATACGTTGGCAGCACTGGCTGTAAATCAGCTGGTCAGCTGTTTTACTGTTGTATCATTAAATGTCATATTAACTTGCCTACGGCTCGTGAGTAAGTATTTCTCTCAAGTGAGTCAATTGCTCACTTTGCTGACTAGCACAAATAACTATTTCCTTCATCATCTGCAACATTTGTCACTCACCTTTGTAACTTTGTGTTTGATCTTATTTGTTTTATAATTAACTATTGAAATATTTTGTTAAATGGACCTTATTTTCTTTACAGAGGTGTGACTACAGTGTACTGACTCCTTTTTTGCCTCCAAAACAGGAGTATGTCATCTCCGTAAAGCTCTCCGATATACAGGTAATTTTTACTTTTCGTCCCTTTTGTATTAACCTATTTTTATGCAAGGATGAGCAGTTGGTTTAACTCGCACAGCGGTTCTTAAAGCAGAAACTATCATAGAAGTGCATATGTTTAATTTTATAAAAAGTAAAAAGTATTTTTTTTTACATTCAAGTTGTTTCTCTTTATTCCATTACTGTTTACAATTCAATATCATTGCTTAATTATTATTGACAACATCTGTTAAACAAATTATTTTAAACAAAGACTTGTAAGTTAATATGTAAGTAAGTAATATACAAACATCTCCCTTTTTGGGTCGCCGGAAGACTGCCCCCCGGAAAACTACCCCCCCAAGCAGGTTCCTACGTCATATTGACGTCAGAGACCGGGGGGGGTAGTTTTCCAGCCACGGACACTCAAATTTAGTTGTCAAACAGTTCTAATCTAACCTAACCTAACCAACCAAACTTGCTGTAACATTTCAAAAATCTGTTTTATATTCACCATACGCATTTTCTATTATCCAACGGAATTACTCGAATTAAAATTAAAATTACATAGCATGATTTGTCTAGGGGGGGTAGTATTCCAGTCGCGGACACGGCTTCCATATTGGTTAGTTAGCAGATTTTGTGACGTCACGTTTCACCTGGGGGGGGGTAGTTTTCCGGGGGATAGTATTCCGCATCCCCCCCTTTTTAAGCAATCTTGACTGTCCTTCTTTTTTAACATAGATTTAATTTTTCTTATATGGTGTGTGTTTCTTCTTAAAACAATACTAGTGTACATGTTGCTCGAATTCGAGCAATTGCAAAGTATTACAGGAGTTATTTCAAAACGAATAACAGCCATATTTACAATGAATTTAAAAGAGTCAACTCAAAGATTACCGGTGTGTAACTCAGACCATGTTTATCTTCGTTATTGATAAACCTAGCACCATAAACCAGGCATTCCGGCCTGTTTTCGTCTCCTTCTCAAAATGCCTCGCTGTACAGGCAACACAGGTCATTGATAGAGGGCCAATTGAGAACGAAAAGTTGTTTTGTTTTGGGGTAGTGTTAGGGCGCATTTTTAACCTAATAGTTGAGCCTATTATGTGTCACTGTTCTGTAGCTGCGGTCGTTATCACGATTACGCCTCCTGTACATATTTCGTTGTAGTAGCGTCGGAGGCATTTAAAAGAAAAAACAACAAATAAACAAATTATAGCTACACAAAACAACGATAAATGCACAAATTTAAGTTACAATCATGCTAACACGATCCTTCATAGCGACACAAAACAGCGATAAATACACAAATTTAAGATACAACCATACTAACACGATCCGTCTTTGGGGTTATGTTTACACAAACTCAAATAGTAAATAAATGTACTCAATGCGTTTCATTGAATTGAAAAATAAATAACAGCAATAAAATTATACAGCTGATCAAAATGTAAACAATTATGTTCTTCATAAGGATAACATGGGAACTTTCAAAGCCACTGGGGCAGAGCCCAACGGACTTTTAAAAAAATGTAAGGCCAGTTTGCAAATCTACGCGACTCGCTCTTTCCAATGAGACTTCAATGGATAAAATCGGTTTAGAAATGGCGGAGGAGTTCAACCGACAAAGTTTCATGTAGCGTATTAATTATATAGATTACTTTATAATTTTACCAAATAAGAACGAGGTTCCGGTAATTTTTTAAAAATCACACCAGGATTCCAAAATTTGGTTTTGGAACATTTTGAGAGCATCGATGAAGATTTTTTACAATAGCAATACTATTTTTATCTGGTTGATTAAAATCTGTTGGGACAATGAAATAGCCTAGAACAAGTTTGTTAGCCAAAGGAAATAGTTAATCTCCAATTATGTTTTGAGGCTTTTTACTTTAAAATTTCAAGTTTGAAATCCAGCCCTAGTTTTTTTGTTGTTTTTTTTGTGGATTGTGTTGTATTATGCGCTTTTCTTGCAAGAATCATTTGAGAACCATGCAATATGGACTTTTTAAGCCCGCTGCCGGATATGATAGTGGTTTAAGAGAAGCTGAAACCGAGCTCATCCTCTACAAGGAGCCATGGCCAATGGCAGACAATTTTATCTGTAAGTCAAAATATCATATAAAGCTATGCCCCTTTCACATTGTATAAGTTCAATGAAATGGTGGTTCAAAATCAACTTCTGTCTGTCATGTTAGATTTTGTAATTTAAAACAAAGCCTTTTGGTAGGGGTGTGCGAAGCAGCAAAAATTTTTCGATTCGAAGCAACGATTTGATTCAAAAGATTTTCGATTATATTCGATGCAACTCGATTCGAAGCAATACAGTATTTTTCTATTCATAATTGTCAATTTAGCGGATTAACAATAATTAAATTTTACCACATTAGTGTAATGCAATTTTTTGTTGATGTGGTATTAGGCCTATTCATACTTAACATATGAATTTTAGGTGAAAAATATTTATTTTCAATCAATTATTAAAATAACCTGTATTGCTGGAAATGTTAGTGAGCTGCTTTACTTGCCTATTTCATGATTTTTACTTGAAATTGGCTCAACTGCAAGAAAAAAGAAAATAATTTTTTTTATCAAGACATTTATTCTCATTTTAATAACTGTTGAAATAACTAAATAGGTAGCTAAATTACAACAAATTTGAATGGAACTTAATATAAAAAGACCATAAACAAATCAATTAATATATCACAAGTTTAGGGCCTGTGGACCGGCTTCAGGACTGCAAGCAAGAAGAAAATAAAAATAATATGTTTCCACCATGCAATATGTATCATTCATTCCCTGCCTCATAACCCCCTTCCTATAATAACCTCACACTTACATTATTTGTTACATCATCATAAATAAAGAACTATCTTTTATTGGCATCAGTAGGCCTACAGCTTTACATAGGCATTATTTTTTATAGGGCCTAAAATAGTAATAGGCTAAGCAACATGTCAAGTGGAGAACTCATTGAAGAAAAAATATTGTGTAAACTAATTTACTATAAAACTCAAAAACAGTAAATAACACACACACAATGTTTATGGTATAGGCCTAATTAATTAGTAAGGACTGTACTAGGTGTACAATGCAGTTATCTACTTGCAATATTGAGCGGAGCCAGCATATTAATTCAATGTCAATAATATATTTGGTTCGCATAAATGGAATGCCTATTTACAGATTCTAAAGTCAATGGTTTGTCTGGTTCACGTAGACGGATTGTCTAATTGCAGTATCAAAACTATGAGTGTTATATTTGGTTCACATTAATGGAATTTCTATTTGTAGACTGCAAATAGGAATTGCAGTACATATTCAAAGTCTACATTAATGGCACGTCTTGCTCACATAAAATACTGTAAAAGTTATTTACAGTATTCAAACGCAATATGGTGCATCAGCCTAATTCCGGCAACCCTTATTATTGGTTATTCATTTTTTAGTAAATTATGCTCAATGCTATTAATCCGATTGTTCTTCCCTTTTCCTTTGTACGGTTTGTAGTCAGCTATTTCAGACGATTCGTTGACTAACATAAGTTTCGACTCTTGTTTACCTTTTTAATTTTTTATTGTTATCTCGAAAATAATGCCATGGCAACCAACTAACCTATAAGGCCTATGTTAAATTTCTAAAGTTTAAATTCACGTAGGGAAAAGTGTTGTCCGATTATTACCATTTCAGATTTATACCTTCCCATGGTTGGGTACTATGACTGTGTTAAATTTCGTGCAGATCGCTTCAGCCGTTCAGGAGGAGTATTTGTAAAACAAAAGCAGGAGTGTAGTATAAGAGCTTCGCTCAAAAAAATCATGTCATACAGTAGTATCACACAGAAAACATACTACTGTAGTATGTTTTCTGTGGTAGTAAGTAAGTATAGACCTACTGCAAGAGATTAAAATCATAAAACAACTGATTTGATTTTGATAGCTAATGAATGAAAAGAATTACAAATCCATAAAATAAAGTCAAACAATATCACAATTAATAAGATACCCAAAAAGAAACTCTTAACACATTGGGTGCGGCGGTATCCATATGGATACCTGGAGTCCATCACGTAGAGGCGGCGGTATCCATATGGATACTTGGGTCCTCCTGAACTTCAATATTTTCCTGTGGCTCAGCCGTTTGATATTTCGAACTAATACTTTGTAGCCACCTGCGTTGACACAGTTGAATGACCGTGGTGACCTTGGTTTCTATTTTTGTCGCGTTATCAGTAGGGGGGGCGGGATGGGGGTGGGCGAGCGCGCCACGTGCGTTTGTTTACGACCCTTTGCAGAATGTTTCCACGTTAGCGTGTAGTGGGTGACTTGCTTTTTGTTGTGTTGTAGGTTGGTAGTAAAATTTCCCCATAAAATCCCCGTCTGGCAAACTTAAAAATCAACTTTTTGTCCCGTCTTTCTCCCTCCAATTGTTAATACGATGGGACCGGCTACGTTCCAAGCAGTGCTGCTATATGTGAGTGTTTAGCGAACTACGTCGACTCTTGTTATAAAACAGGACATCACCGCACGTTATTTGCTATTCGTCATACCGAAATATGAGAGCCAATCACCCGGCAATCGGGTTTGTTCGACGCTGCGGGCTGCGCCGCACTGGGGCTACGCCTGCTGTTTGATGGCCCGCAGCGAACGTGTTAAATAATATATAGAAGATAAAAATAATATTAAATCAAAAGATAAGAAAGTTAAATGCTAACTTCTAGTACCCTTAGCAACACAGGTCAATGTTTTTAAACTACTCTCAGTCTCAATGTTGTTCAAAGGTTTATTGCGGACATTTTCCATCACGAATGTAATGGACATTCGTGATGGAAAATGTCCGCAATAAACCTTTGAACAACATTAACTCACCATCACCAACAATGAACTTCAAACAAAGTACTCTCAATGTTTTTGGAACAGCAGGGTCTTTTTCTCGGAAGGAAGGGTAGTAGTATCTTAACAAAAAAACAATGAATGACCCTCCCCTCCCCCCATCCTCACTTACACCACCCGGTTGCTTCAATACAATTGCTGACAAAATGCAAGTGACAAAACAAGAAAGTAGAGACAAAAAATATATTTCTTTATTCAAAAACACAAAACTGATAACTGTTACAGATCATTTTCAAAGAAATTAATTCATTGTAATTTGTGTGTTGTAAATATTGTACTGGATCTTAGAAATATCTTTTTTGAAACCCCATCTAACTTAAGAAAAAAATCATTTTACTGATGATAACTTTCATAAAATTATAAAACATTTAGGCCTAACCTCTTTGTTGACTTATTTGCTGATGCCGAACCAGACGATCACTAGTGTTGTTACTGAATGACAAAAAGGACAATAATAAAATAAAAGAACAAGATACAGATCCATACACTAGATCAGATATTTCTTTTGTTTATAATTTCTTATGTAAAATACTAAAATATGTTTTTAACTAGGTATGAAATAAACACTAAATAATTAAACTGGTACCTCTCGATAAATAGTCTTTTTTTACTTTGTTTTCTTTGTACTGTTGTAAGAATGATTTTGGAGTAGCCTATCTTGTTTTGGCTAGGTTTACAGTAGTAAAACATGTCCCACACTGCTTACATCAAGACAAAAAACAAAACCTCTCATCATTTGCAATGTCAAAACAAAAAATTATAAAACAATTAAAGCAATACTTACATGCAAAGAATTTATTAAATAAGAACGCCTTCGTAAAGGAAACGCAACAGCAACGCGTCCTGTATTGCGGGTATTGCGTTGACTTTCTGCAGGCGTTTTTCATATATGGATACTGACTCCCTCATGAATCGAATCGTTTTTTGACCACCACTGAATCGAATCGCGATTCGATGCATTGCACACCCCTACCTTTTGGATTAGTTAAAAGTCTGTTCTGGTTTACAGGTGAAGCTGTATCAGTTCTACATAGACTACTTCTGTCACAAGAACAGCGGTGACAAGCGCACGTCCGCTCAGCTGTTCCAGGACTGGCAAGTGCTGGGTCGTATCTGGACACATCCTCGCGTGGTCAAGAGCAGCACAGAGAAAGCTGAGAAGGAGAGACAGGTGTGTGCAGTGTGCAGTGCTGTCACCCAACCAACTTGGCATTTTTCTTTAAACAAATCTCTCTTGTTTTCATTATAATTACAAGTCGCGTGAAAGAAAGCCAAATTCAGCCTAAAAGCAAACTGTTGAAGATATAATATATTCATATTATAATGTCCATAATAGTTATGTTAGAAAAGAACATATGATGTTTCCTTGGCAACAGAGTTTAGTTGTTTGTTATATTTTGATGAAGTAAGATATATACACAAATCTAAGTTTTTCATTCTATCAGTTTTACTATTAAATTAACTTAATTTTTGATCCACAAGACGACTTGTTATTTTAGACGATATTTCCAACATGGTAGCAGAGCGTGGTTTCGATCCACGGACCTCTGGTGGGACTAAAATAACAAATCAGCTTGTTGACAGTAATCAGGACAATATATTCCATGAAGAAGAGCAAGATATTGTGTATCCAGGAACCAATGATACTGATGAGCAAGACATATTGTGTCCTAGTGATGATAACGCTATTCCAGGTGATATATTACGAGAGGAGACTTATAACCTGAGAAAACGTGATGGAATAAAAATACCTATGAGATATAGAGATTATTCTGTCATGTGTGTCAGTGACAGAGATAAAAATGAGCTTTTAGTTTCTGCAATACTTACAAACGAAGTACCGGAAAATTATGATGAAGCAATTAGATCTGAGCATGTCGTCGATTGGAAATCCGCTATGGATGAAGAAATAAATTCATTAATAAAAAATAAAACTTATGATTTGGTTGATCAACCAAAAGGAAGAAAAGTCATCGATAATCGCTGGGTATTTGCACTGAAAACAAATTCTGAGAACGAGATCATTCGTTACAAGGCGCGTTTGGTCGCAAAAGGATTTACTCAGCGTCCTGGTATTGATTATGGTGACACTTTCAGCCCTGTAGCTCGGTTTAAGACGATGCGAACTATGTTAGGCTATTCAGTTCAGTACAATCTTGCTATCAAACAGTTTGATGTTAAAACAGCATTTTTGAATGGCAATCTTGATGAGACTATTTTGAAGAGTAAGCTTCAACGGTGTGTTTCCCAATCTTCAATGGAAGCAGAATATGTTGCCGCTAGCGAGACCTGTAAATCCCTTCGTCTTGTGAAAGAGATTGGCGCAATTGAAGAAAAGTCTATTCCTATACTACATGTGGACAATCAAAGTGTAATCAAACTTATGAACAATCCAATGTTCCACGATCGCTCTAAACATATTGAGACGAGATACCATTATGTTCGACAGTTGGTCTCTGGGAAACAGATCACTGTCAGATACATTCCAACAGAAGAACAAACCGCTGATATTTTAACAAAGGGCCTATCATCATTGAAACATGTTAAAATGAAAACTTTCATTGGGATGGTGACCTCTTAACCAAAAACTTACTTTTCTAAAATGTTTTATGGACATTACGGGGGTGTGTTGAAGATATAATATATTCATATTATAATGTCCATAATAGTTATGTTAGAAAAGAACATATGATGTTTCCTTGGCAACAGAGTTTAGTTGTTTGTTATATTTTGATGAAGTAAGATATATACACAAATCTAAGTTTTTCATTCTATCAGTTTTACTATTAAATTAACTTAATTTTTGATCCACAAGACGACTTGTTATTTTAGACGATATTTCCAACACAAACAAAGCATAGATTTGTTTGTCAGATGAATGTAGATATGGTAGTCGGTGTGATCAGTTTTCCAATCATTCTTCCTGTGAATGTTACCAACCCCGATACCCAAACAAAACAAAATAATCTTTACAAAGTCTAGGCAACCCCCAAATCTGAACCTAAGATAACACCTTTCACCAAACCCACTCCACTTTAACATCCAACTCAACAAGCAGGCTTACATACTCATTTATACAGGGTGAGTTTAAATTGCCCCCCCCCCCAACTTTTTTCTACATTTTTTTCAAATATCAATCCCAGACCACTTCTAAACATTGTTGGGTAGTAAGTACGTCATGTTGACAATGTAGTCATTTCCGGTCGCCATCTTGGATTCGCCATATTGGATGCAAAATATTTTGTCCAAATGTAAAGGTGGAGTTGTGACGAACCATATTTTCACCCTGATTGCCACAAACCGTTTAAAAAATCTTGATCCATTAAAAAAATATGAGGGCTTTTTATAACTTTACTAGCTGACCCGGCGAACTTCGTATCGCCTAAGTTATAGGTTTCCCCTAAGACAGACCGATGGAAAGAAAGTACCGTTACGTTTAATTTTCAAGATGATCTCGTTCGCATCGCTCAATCACGTCCTGGTTGAAGTTCGTTCGCTACGCTCACTCACCTTTGGGTTGGAGCTCGTTCGCTACTCTCACTCACCTTTAGGTTGGAGCTCGTTCGCTGCGCTCACTTGCCTTCAGGTTAGCTCGTTCGCTACGCTCACTCGCCTCCAGGTTGAAGTTCGTTCGCTACGCTCACTCACCTTTTGGTTGCAAATTAGCTGTTGTCATAAATGTAAAAGAAATAATAGTGCTGCACCCTGTTGGTAATCCTTGTAACTTTAATGCTATTGAACATCATAGAACAGAACCAACTTGTTTAATTGAAACAGCTGTTAAGATTCATTAATTCCATTTCTCATAAGGTTAACATGGGAAACTCCAGAGCCACTGGGGCGGAGCCCTTTTAAGAATTTCGAAACGGGAAATAGTTTACGTCCGATTCGCATACCTACAGAATTTACACACCAAATTTCATAACGATCGGTGAAGTCGTTCCGGAGGAGTTTGCAGACAAACACTGTGACACGAGAATTTTATATATTAGATTTTAAGCCCGTTTTAACATTGAGCCAATAGGTGTATTTAGCCAACATAACCAAATGTAAATAGGTCTATAATGACTGATAGTGTAGGTATACTTATCTTTATCTAGCGCTATTTTGAGATTATGGCCTTAGTTTGTAAATGCACAGTGTTAAAATGGGCTAAAAATAAAGTTATAAAAAGCTCTCATAACTTTGGAATGGATCAAAATTTTTTTAAACAGTTTATGGCATTGCAATCAGGGTAAAAATCTAGTTCGAAATAATATGTCACAACCCCACCTTTACATTTGAAAAAAATATTTTGCATTCAATATGGCTAATCCAAGATGGCGGCCGGAAATAACCACCTTGTCAAAATGAAGTACTTACTACCCAACAATGTTTGAAAGTGGTCTGGGATTGATATTTGAAAAAGTGCAGAAAAAGTTGGGGGGGGGACAATTAAAACTCACCCTGTGTATTTATATATACAGTATATAGAGTGTCGATAAGATAAACTGAAACTGTATCTTTTAAATTCATACTATTGGCAACACTGACTCAACAACTCACTGGCCACCATTTTGTACATGTAGAAAACTCTCTCTTAGTTGAAAATGCTGTCAGTGATAGTGAAATATTCTTTTTTTTGTATAGTGTAAACTTTTGTGTTTCCTGTGCCAGTTTGGGCTCTTTCCCATTCAGGTAAACCCGCTATCCTCTCAAAAAAATCCTAAAAACCTAGGCCCTTTAGTGTTCTATGTTACACTCTTAACCTCAAAACAAAATAATGTTATTCTTTATTTAAGCTCATTTCAGTTTATTATGGCAAAAAATAAAAACCGCTTAACTAACACTAAAATAGAAGAATAGTAGGATAATACACAAACAATAATTTTGATAGAAGGGCAAAAAATATACCAATATGCAAAAAAATTCACTTCGGTTATTAACATAAGTCCAATCTGACAAGCAAAATTTGTCTGTGCAAAATTCCACTGTTGTTATTTATAATTTGATTTTATTAATTTACTTTTATTCTTATTTACAATTTTTCTGTTGTTATACACAAGGAATTGCCAGAAAGTGAGGACGAACAGAAGAAGAAGTTGCGGTCTCAAAAACCAATCACAGATTTTTTTAAGAAAACACAAGGTTCTTCATCTTCAGAGTTATCAGTACGTTTGATTATTTTTTATTTTGTAGGACATTTGGTGTTGGGGATAAGTAAGTAGACGTAGGTAGTTAAAATTGACTTAACGTGCGATAAGCATAACGTGTAGACGTTTCATAGCTCTGTAGCAATTGGCTTTTAAATATTATAGCCTATAATTCCCTAAACACACTGTCCTGTTTACATATTTGTTTACATTGACAGTTTCTGATGATGGATAGGGCCCTAAAACCGAAGCTGCTTCTTAAACAGTAAACACATTTTATCCTTCTATCTCTCATCTAAGGATGGGTCGATTCCAAAATTTGATTTTCGATTCCACCGATTCTCGTCTTAGGAATCAGAATCAAGAATCAACCGCTCAAAGATGATTCAGATACTGATACCTGCCTCGTCCGCTAAGATCTGCGCGATCAGAAAATTACCGCTAAAGCCACGATTGCACAAGGCGATCGAGAACTTTTCCGTGACCGCAGAAGAGGACAATAATGTCTACACAACTGTGGGAGATGTTCATAGGATTTTGCCCTGATCGTAGAAGACGATGATGATGTTTATGTTACCGGGGGGGATATTCAGGGTTTTGCCGTAACCGTGGGAGACAATGACGATGTCTACGTCCACACGTCCGTGGGAAATGAACAAAATTTTGCTGCGATTGTGGAAGACGGTGTTTCTGTTACCGCGGGGGTATTCAGGGTTTCGCCGTGGCCGTGGGAGACAAAGACAATGTCTACATGACCGCAGGAAATGGTTGAAATTTTGCCTTGATCGTGGAAGAGAATGATTTTTCAATTACCGCTGGGAATATTTAGGGTTTTGCGGTGACTGCGGGTGACAATGATGATGTCTACTCGACCGTGGGAAATGTTTTTTACATAATGGAATTGAGAATTGATTTTAAAAATCAATAATTTATGTAATTGATCCATAGCTTATGGAGTCTCATTCATATCTCTTGAGGGTCAAACAGGCAGATTTTTGACAGTAATGTTTCATGCATGTAATAATAACAGGTATGAGTATTGACGTCTTTACAACTGTCCTTATACAGCCTTTAATAATTCCCCACAATGTTATCAAACTTGTGGAAACAGACATCTTTCAAGAGATTAATTTACTAGAATAAAAACAAATATGGTGTATAACTATATCTTTTGAGAACCCAACCTATATTAACGTCTGACAGTTGAGAATGGTTTTGAATATGCATACTGTATACTGATATGAGTGAAGGACTTCGATCCCTGAGGTCCCGTGTTCAAATCGCGCCAACCTTCCCGATTTTCGGGACAGGATTTTTTCCTGTGCATAAAAAGAAAGTCTTGAGCATTGCAGTTACCAAAAAAGACAAACAAAATCAATTTTTACCATTTGTGACGCTTATCTATAAAAACCAAAAAATGGGTAAAACTTTACTGGTATAGAGACTTGCGTTTGAAATGACTCGCAGTCACGGTGCGATTGTCATTATGACACTCCGCGGTCATGGCGCGATCGTCGAAGTGACTCCGTCTCCTGCGTTCGCGAAACTATCCTGAACATCTCACGCAATAGCGGTGTCATCTTTACTTGCGAATCGGCAAAATCGCTGCGAATTGGATCAAATTCCGTCCTGAAAATTTTCCGAAATTTCGGGACTTGTCCATCCCCAATTTTAGATAACCCTAACATTGCTGGTTTGAGACCAGTTGGTCTGCAATGTCTTGTCACCGTGTTCATCACTCTTAGACCACAGCATGGACATTGACAGCAGATCCATAGTGATGGCCAGTCAAGGGTCTTTACAAAGAAATTATAGAATTTATTTATATCAGCCATGGCTGCAAAAGAAGATGATTCAGTAAAAAGTATTTAGAATAAAAATTACCAACTACTTTCCTAAAAAATAATCTGTTTGTTTTCAGAAACAAGAATCCGAAGATGAAGGATCCGTAAAGAATTTTATCAATGACAAATCGTCATCTTCTTCTTTGAGCTTGTCTTCATCATTATCATCAGATGATGAAAATGGGAGGACAAAGGACAAAACGTCTAAAAAAGACAAGAAAAGTAAAAAAGACAAAAAAGAAACAGAGAAGAAAGAAGAAGTTCCTGTAAAAGATCCCCTGGCTATTCAACCTGTGGATGGTAATCAAATTAATTGTTTGAGTTTTATTAAACTTTTCTTTAATATCAGTCAGAAATGATTTTCTTACTAATAAATTGTACTTTACTTTCTGGTTTTTACGTTTTGCACCACATATTAGACATTAAAAGTCTTGGTCCTGTTTTCATATGAAATTTTATATGTGCCATATATATGCAAATTGTTAAATTGTTGAATAGTTAAACATTGAATACCCTTAACATTTGAATTCTAGATTTCAAGATTTACCTGGTAATTAGTTCTGTCTACTAATGTTTTCAGAGATCAACTTGATTTCATCGGAAGAAGAAGATGTTGGTAATGAAAAGGAAAATATCACGGAAGTGGAAGCAAATATTAATATTGAAGAAAACAATGAGGATGAAAACAAAGATGATAGTGGGATTGATGGTTAGTAAACTTTTTTTCATCACTCGTAGCAAAAGTAGCTACAGTAGACCCCCTCTTAACCGACCTTGTATTAACCGATAATCAGATTATCCGCCTTCGATCGTAAAATAATACAGTTTGTTTTAACCGACCTTGATTTGAGAGCAGCTCGGTTTAACCGCCGCTTTCTAGGAATCTCGGCATTTCCGCTCCCACGCTGGGCGATGAGAACTGAACCATACGCTTATCTCCACAGGATATGACTAACAATAAGCTATTTTGTGTTGAGCACAAAAAATATAGCATAGCCTATTGTCAGTTTGTCATCATCGTTCGTAGCTCGAGCACATCTGATCTGATTTGTTATCTGTGCGGCAAATTTATAACATCATAAAGTGCGTTACGATTTTGAGAACTGATTATCTTATCGCCGGAGTAAACAAACAACACAACTTGTAAGGAAGGCAGGGAAAGGGGGTTAACAACTCCAAGGTCAAGATAGTTTTTGTGCCTCGACCCTCCAGTGAGAGGCTATAAATAAACGTCCTGTTTAAAAACAAAATGGTCGCTTGTATCTTTAATTTCGACAAAAGGTTCTGTACTGTATTACGATGTATTTGGAAAGCATCAATTAATACATTACAGTATTAAAGTTATTAAAATAGGAATTTTATTGACTCTTGCCTAGTACTATAATAATATATTCCACTGAAAGTAGGCCTATTTGACTTAACTGTGTTTTGTGTTTATTTGTGACTTTTCTATCAATATGAAAAAGGAGATAAGAGTAGTTTATTTTATAAATAATGCAAGTATGACTTCAAAATAATGATTATATAATTCCAAATAGCACTTCATTATGTTACGATTTTAGGGATTGCCCGTTTTATCCGACCTTTTGAGTTATCCGACCTAGGTCCGGTCCCATTAGGGTCGGTTAAGAGGGGGTCTACTGTATTTTCAATAAGAGCTGATATCAGAGAAAGTAGTTGTTTCTCCAATTTAGAGCTAGAAAAAAACGATCAGCTGATTTACCCTCTCTAAAAAATCTACTTTCCCTCTCTACCACTACGCACGCTAGTGTTTTGTTGCACTTTATTTTAATGATTAAAATCAGCTGTGTTCATTCAAGGCCCCACTAGAAAAAACAGGCCATGCTGCAGCACGGGTAGCGCAACACTACGTCACAGTGGTGGATAGTTGTACTAAACTCTTACCATTAAAATCTTACAAACAGCCAACTTGTTTATTTACCTAAAACATATGTGAATGGTGATGGCAATGAATTTATCAATGAAATCCATCCACTAGTGTGACGTCATGGATCCTGCAACATGGCCTGTTTTTTCTAGTCGGGCCTTGGTTCATTAATGCACAATCTAAAGGTATACAGAAACAGGCATTAGTTTGTATTGCTGTGTCTCTAACATAGCAGGCCCTTGAAATTGCTCAAAATAAGATTTCCAGATTTTACTTCAAGATAATTTTTATTTTATACAGAAAAATGTTACAATAAAAAAGTTTTACAAATTATTTTTGAAATGAACGTATAAATACAATTTAAAAAACTAAAATATGTCTAACATTCCTGATTATTTGATGTAAAAAGCTTGAAAGATAACTAAACCACCAGAGAAATTACGGGAAAGATATGAAGAGGAATACAGTAAGTTTACGAACTGATACAAATTACACTTTGTTAAACCAAATAAAGTATGTGACAAAGTATTCATTAATATATTTATTAAAATAGATCTATAATCATGAAACTATATATGTTGTTAAGTAGATTTTCAATGATAAAGAGTGGTCCAAAACTATTTTAAAGTTACTGAGGTATTCCGTGTATGTGTATTTTTGTGTCGTGATGAAAAGTATCGTTCATAACTCGTACAAGTTATTTTCTGGCACTTGCTCCATTATTCCCGTCATCTTCCTAGTAATGAAATATTGTTGTGACTTGTTTGTTGTAAGTATAACTATCTATGGATCCTTGATAACCACTAAAGTGGTTGTTCTTCCCTAGATCAAGATGGGAAAAATGACGATCCAAATGCCGAGGAAAAACCCACTGAAAGTGACACAGAAGCCAATAAAGAGAGCAAAGACGGAGAGGAGGAAACTAAAGAGGTGGAAAATGAAGAGGAGAAAAGGGGAGAAAATGAGGAGGAGAAAAGTGAAAAGGAGAAAAAGTTTGAAGGGCCACAGCTGGATAGACGAGGACGCTGGTGGAAAGATATCATTGAACCTCAACATCTTGAGGATATAAATGCGAGTTCTAAGCTTATTCTGCTGTTTGCAATTTTACGAGAGTGTGAGATGATTGAAGACAAAGTGTAAGTATTCTCTTGTCTTATTTAAAATCATTAAATTATCACCTTACCCTTTTATCTTACTTTACGGGATAAAACACATTCAACAATTGGTTGATTGAAGCAGTTTTTCAAATTTTGTGAATAAAAAATACCCACGCTGCAGCAAACCTCCAAACTTAGCGAATTTCCATTTGCCTGATTGGATTTACACTCAAATGTCTCCTTAAAAATATCACATTTGTTCCATATTTAAACAGAATTAATTTAAGGAGTACTTAGGCTTGCTGCAACAGGGAGGGTAAAAAAGTTGTTTAAATGTAAAATGTTAAAAGGTACTGCAGTTTAGTAAGAAATTGATGTATTTTCCAAATGTTATCAAAATATGTTCATAAACAAGCAAACTACAACAGTTGACTTATTCTCCATAAGAATAACATGGGAATTTTAAAATTAAAATCTTTTTGAATTTTATCCGTAACAATTAGGCGCATAATAACGCTTCAATATACTAAATTATTTGTTCTTTTAAGCTCTACAAAATGGTTTAGAAATAAATTGTGAAATTTTGTGTTTTTAGGGTCAAAAATGAGAAAAACCTATTTTTACCCCATAAACACCCGTTCCCATAGTCCGATCATGCTGGTTCCCGAACTCATTCAAGTTTATCCCGCCTTACACCTTCAAACCAAATTTTATCAAAATTGGACAAAAATTACTCAAGTATATATATCTCTCTATATATAGATATATAAAAATTTGAACGAATGTTGTTTTTGGCCTCTGGGGACATCAAAATGAAAAAGTAAATCAGTCCCGGGCCTAGGTCTTACCATGAGACCTAAGGTAATAGCTACTTTCCTGTAGGGAAATTCGCTAAAACAGAATGAAACTTAATTATCTAAGAATATTTGTTTTTTTAGTTTAATTGAGTCTCTAAATTCTGTTTTGTAAAAATAAAATGTTTTAGATAAAAATGCATTAATCCCTCTTCAGGTTATAAAATTTTCATCTTTGTATTCCTGATGGATAAAAACAGAGCTTGGAGTAAATAATAAATAGAGCGTAATTATAATTCTTGACCAGGCTCAAAGTAATGTGGTGAACAGTTTCTCAGGATAGTGAGCTAATGGCTGTCTAGAGTAAAAGATTTACTTGTACCTTGGTTTTCCTTGTTTGGAGCCTGTGGCTCTCTAAAGTTGGATTTCCAGTATTAACTCTTAAAAGGTTTTGTTAATCTTCAATAACCGTTGTATAAGTTTTTTTAAGTTATTGCTGAATTAGTTTGGAATGAAACAGATTTTCTGCAAGGGTGAAGCAGACTCTGCTTTTACTCATCTCATTTCTATGAACGCTTTGTTACTGGCTGTACAAACTTTTAACAAGTCTCCAATCCTCCATCTGACGTATAACTTATGAGTGGACCACTAACCTTAAATGTTTCTGTTCAGGCTGGTGTTTAGTCAGTCGCTGTTCTCTCTGGATCTGATTGAGTACTTCCTAGAGAAAGTGGACCAAGCAACTGAGGAGAACAGACTAGACGAGAGTCTAGGTAACCACGCAGGCTGCTGGCAGAAAGGTCTTGACTACTTCCGACTGGACGGGTCATCATCCTCGGAGAACCGCAGTGCTTGGTGCAAGAGCTTCAACAGGGAGGACAATCCTAGGTAAGTGTCACATTGATGCTTTGGGAATGCTTTTGTTGCAATATTTAAGAATTTTTTTGATACCAACATGAATGTTTAATCACTGGGTTGTCATTGCAGAATCTTACATTGCAATTATCGTTTACACATTAGACATAGAAATTGCACTTTTTCAATCTAAAAAGATGAAAGTTATTGGTTTTAAACACTTGATACTAGCTTTGGGTGTAGGCCTAACTATTAGGCCTAGCAATTTTACCTTAAAACACTATTGACTATTTTTTCTACCTAGATTTCTTTATGGAACCTTTGACAAGGGAGAGAACTAGACACTCCATTCCCATGGTATAGTTGTAGCCTGCTTTATGATGAAATTCGTGCCACCACTAGCTCATGTAACCTACTGATTTTTTGTTAAATATGCAGACCTTTTAACTGAGAGGACGTTTTGTTAATTGTAGCATACTTTATGTCACTTAAACTCTCTCAGTAATAAAATCTTAATATAATTATAGACTGTAGCACACTCTGTTCAACTATGTTCTTTATAAATTAAAATTAGGCTACAGCTGGCCCATATAGACGGGATGTCGACTTGAGTATCTAAAAAGTCAATGGTGTTACTAACACCAATACCCAATACAAATCATGTGATTCTGATAGTTATACTAACCTTCCACTCCTGACTGTAATTTATGTTGCTGTGTTTCAGGGCTCGATTGTTTCTTATCTCCACGAGAGCTGGAGGTCTCGGCATCAACTTGACCGGAGCAAACAGGGTTGTTATCTTCGACGCATCCTGGAACCCTTCCCACGACATACAGAGTATCTTCAGGATCTACCGGTTTGGACAAAAGAAACCTTGCTATGTCTACAGATTCGTGGCCCACGTATGTTTCCATTCTAGTTTGATTTTGGTCGGATCCGGATATCGGACTACCGGATCCACCGGATCTGATCTAGAACCGACGCCCGATCGGATTCACAAAAAATCGGATCTTGGGCTGGATCCGGTTTTAATGGATCCGATTTTTTTTATACTATTAACACAAAACGGGCGAGTATTTGAGATTTCGAGTTCGAGTAGAGTACGGCCTTGAAATTCGAGCTTATCTTTGAACTCGCCAGTTTGGTTTGAAATTGTAAATAATCAATATTTGTTGTAATGTAACTTGTGTTTGGATAAAATGATGAATAATTTGTATTACTGTAGATTCTACAGTAATACAAATATAGAAATAAGCAAGAGGTAGTTGTCCTAACCTATTTTTATAGCTGTCACGACAGAATAGGTCAACTCAAAGCAGTCGCCGGCGACTGACTGGCAATGGTATACTGACTTGACACAGAATAGAATGACATGATCGGTAGTGATTTTGTTTTAAAGTACGCCTACTGTTTCACAATAGAAAATTCCACTACTGATCTGTTGTAAGCAATAAATTTATGTTTATAAAAGTCAGAATAGAAACACTATAAAGACAAAACAATAGAAGGGAGGGAGGAGTTGAGCAATGACCCCGAAATGAGCGGAATAGCAACATTGAGTAGGGGGTTGGGGGGGGGGGGGGGAAGGGAAGGGTAGTAGGAGATTTGAATAATCAAAAATATAATTAGAGAAAGATGAGTAACAAAGTTCAGTTATACACTTCTTCTTACTTACTTATCTTTCATCCATCCCAAAATGGAATTCCTGAAATAGTTTGTTGGTATAATCTTCCCTCCCACACAAGGCGCAGTACTCAGTGCGCACTGTAGGTTGTCACGGCAACCGTGTGTCGTCATAGCGACTAGCCAATCACGCACTCGCACTGCGTTGTAGATTACGATACGAATAGCTGTGTTAGAAAGACAACGCGATAGGGCGATAGGTGGTAGTTTGTCTTCGTATCTCCTCAAAATTACGATCGATAATCAGATAATCATTGCGCAACGTAGAATTGTGATAACTTTGTTTTCAATAACGACACATATTAAGTGTTTTTATATGGACACAGTTAGTCTTTGACATTGCCTAGCCATATGAATTATTTTACTTAAAAACCCCACCCTTGAAAAAAAGAAAAAAACGTATCTGTATTTGGATCCGAATCCGATTTTTTCAAGATACGGATCCAGTATTGACATTTTCTTGGATCCGCCCATCACTATTTTTTTCATGTTAGTGTTGTGACACTTGCGTCACAGCATCATACCGTACATCAGCTGATAGCTGGAGAACTTGGGGAGGGGATAGGAAAGGCCGTGAGACTAGGAGTTGTGTGCTGGAGTCTACCCGTGAGGTTCCACGCTGGACGTCGTCTTCGAATTAGATAATTTATCGTTAAATTTAATTATTTAAAATTATGTTCTTATTTTTGACAGAAAGGGGGATTTAGGGGTTTGGGGAACTATATTTGCTTAGTATGTAAATTATACTTTTCAGCACACTCTTACCCTTAAGGTGCAAGTGGAAGTTTTACTTGTTCTTAGCTTTATTATATTTAATGAGATGTATTAGAAATATTAGGTCATCAAAATGGCTGTGATATGGATGTGGTTCAGCGCAGTAATTAATTTAAGTTATTATTATTCACCTTAGAATGTCGCACGCATTTATAAATTTATTATTTTGAGCCTTAACGATCCTTATGAGTCTAGTACCGTTACTATAAATAATAGTACACGCCAGTGGCATTCAGTATAAGTTAATTTCAAACTTTTTTTAGTGAGTCGAGACCCATAAAGTTTGGGGATATGCTAAGGATGCATACCATCTCTCTTGCTAGACTTACTACATACTCAAGGCTGTTTAGGTGTAAACTTAAAGAAACAATAAACTTTTATATGAGGTGTTTTATTAACTATCCAAGACAAGTGTTGTCTTGCCCAAGGCAGTAATGACACCTGTTTCCAAGTTATGTGGTTGGGGGAAGACTGGAGGACAAGAGAAGTTAGCAACAGCCATCAACAACTATAGTAGTCAACATAACATTTGTACTATTTTAAGTGTCCCTGTTCAACTATGTTATATCTATGATACATTTTAGTTATTTTGTATAAGAAATGGGAATATATTGCTGGCAAGCTATTACAATATACATGTCACTCTAGGGCACAATGGAAGAGAAGGTGTATGAACGGCAAGTGGCCAAGCAGCTTTTGTCCAGCCGAGTGGTGGACGAGCAACAAGTGCAACGTCACTTTTCCATGAGCGATCTCAATGAGCTGTACACATTCACACCTCCGCAAGACAAGGCTGACAAACCCACACCTGTGCTGCCTAAGGATAGACTTATGGCTGAACTGCTCACACAGTACAGCGACTGGATTGAGAAGGTAATATACTAACTGAGGTGTCTATCTGTCTTACCTCTGTGCCACTGGATGAAATAATGGGAAGTTTTGGATAAAAGTACAATGATGTTCAGTATTCTCGATTATCTGATCTAAACGGGCTGCTGTAAGGTTTGGTTATCATGACAAATAACAAACAACCATTGCACATATGTTCTTATAAATGCGCCCGGGCCCAGAGACGCTGGAGGTTTTTGGGAGCGCAAGGAAGAGAGAAATTCCCCCACAATGTAGGTGGAGAGGGGTAAGATTTTGAACGTTGGAATGCTCCTTTTAGAGTTCTCTTCTATAACTTCCCTGGACAAAATCAGAAGTGGTCTGCTGTTCAGATTTGTAGCGATTGTTGTGTTTGCAGTACCACGAGCACGACTCTCTCCTGGAGAACATTGCTGAGGAGGAGCTGAATGAGGAAGAACGCAAGTTGGCCTGGGAGGATTATGAGAATGAGAAGAAGAGAGAATTTATGCCTCAAACTCCAGGCGCTGGTGAGTCTAATGCTATTTTTACAGGTAATATTTCACACTCCCAAGATTATACTGGTTTAAAATTTTAATTTTGGCAACAAAAACAATTTATCGTTGGTTATTTTTCATTGTTCAAATTATTGTGTTCAGCATTTTTAATATGACAGTATCCAATAAGGGAACAACACATGTTAAATTTACTAATTTATTTGTCAATTCCGACATGTACACTGAAAAGGTTTTGGAGTTTCCTTAAAATCTGGACCAAAAAAAATAAAAACTGGTATGGTCAGGCTGGTTTGCAAACTCATTGGAATAAAATGTAGTTTCCACACATACCAAATACCATCAAGATAAAATAATTGTCACTTGAGTTATCAGACTAAAGGAAAGAACCCACTTAAATTAATGTATAAATTGGACAAAAATTTAATTTTCTTCTTAGAAGTCTCAAAAATAATAGTTATGGTCCCTCACCAAATCACATTCTTTCCAATTGAGTATGTACTTTCTATGACAGATACAAACATACATGTGTTTTTCATTTCAGGTTCTGTCAACTTCTCATCAATGAATATGATGCAAATCGAGCAATTCCGCAGGTCACTGAAACTCAAGGTAAATTTGAATTTTTTGTGTATAAAAACAAGCCTTATTTTTTTAATTTGACCTTTTAGTTTGTGTTCTTATACCTTTTATTCAATGTAGTGAAAAAAATATTAACTTAGCCAGTGTGTTCTCCATCACGAAGAACAAAAAAGTTCTGTACTCAGTTCTATTTTTAACTATTAGGATGTAATCAAGAATTGTATGACTTTTAAAACTACCTGTATAATACCTGTATTAGTTTAGCGCAAGGAAAGGCTCTAGGCCAGGATTTTGAATTACAAGTAGAAAGAAAGGATACCAGCTAACCCTGAAGAAGTATTAGGTAGGCCAAATAGAACATAGAGAAGAGACAATGTATGTTCTATTTGGCATACCTAAACTTCTTCAAAGTAATCAGCTGCTATCCTCGTTTTTCTACAATTTAAATAGTATTAGGTTTAGGTTTATAGAGATGGATTGTTTATATACGTGATAGATAGAACACAAAGGGACGAGTAAAAATATTCTTACTACCCAAACATTTGTATTGGATACGTTGGCTTGAAATAAGAGAATCTTGCTTGAAGGAGGTACAACATACTTGAAGGAGATACAAACAACATTTTTCTATTTATTTTGTTAAAAAATACACCCTTCTTATTTTACTATGAGAAGTGTGAATCTTTAAATGTATAAACGTTGTTATCACCATGAAGCAAGCATTAAAACAAAACTAGGATTTTTTGGCAAAATGCTAAGTTGAGTTAGTATAATTGAAGCGTAAACTGAATGCCAATAACCCATTGATCAATTCCAAGATATTTATTAGACCACTGCTAATGAGAATTTGCTTTGATACAAATTATCTTTGGACACAACAAGTGGCTTCACAACTTTTAACATCAATGAGTTGTCCTTGTAAGTTAGTGCTTGAAATCTTTCCTGACCTAGTGATCCTAGCAACCTCTCATTTGTCCTCTTCTCTTCCAGAAGAGGCATTCCCGGTTCAGCAAGCGCAAGTCATCAAAAGAAAATTGTGAACGTGAGGAAAGGCTTAAAACCCAGCAAGATACTGAAAATAGGCTTTATAATAGTGTTTCACCCTCCCTAGCTAATTTGTCACCAAAGGCATTTTACAATCAACTTAAAAACATATTTTCTGAAAGGCAGTGTATTTCTGAGAAATTAGGTGAAAATAGGCTAAACTTTATGAAGCATCAAATTCTCGTTGAGCATCAGAACAAACTATCCAACAGTGGAAATATAGAATTTCCGTTAGAAGAACTTGAATATCTTTTCGTAACACCACCTAATGTTCTTGAAGTAAATTCTCCTGAAAATTCAAAATCTAGCCCCTCAATCTCTCAAACTGAGTTTGAAAATATGACCAGTGAACCTGCTGCCTCTAACAAGAAAACTGAAAAACAACAAATCTTAAACAGAAATAGAAATATCAATACCTTTGAAAGTTTAGCGGAGGAAGACAAACTATTATATTTGGAGACATTAGAAGTAGTCAAAGCGTTGAATTACAAATTTATATGGGTACACAATAATAAAATAATGGTAAGAAAAGGTATCGGTGAATCAAAGGTGGTGATTAATTCAACAGAAGATCTGAACAGATTGTGAATAGGAGGGAACTTTATACAATAGCATTCAACTCTGTGCAATGTGTTCCTATTAGAATGTTAAGAAGTGAAAACAATCAGTGTGTCCATCATTTAAATGCAAACAACGTATGTAACATGTTTTTTTAATTAATTCGTGCAGGGTTTTTTATTATTTTATTTTAACCTTAAAAGTGTGTTGTTTAAAAGGCAAGTATTTTGATTTCTCAACTGAAGCATTTAATTGCTTCACTGACTGAACAGTATTATTTTTATTGGTAGATGAAATGTAAAACAATAATGAATTATTTCATTTGACAAGAATGATTTTGTTTGAAATTTTTAATGCAACAACTTTGCTGTGATAATGTTGTTAATGACTCTTTATATTGTTTGACTGTTTTTTAATACTGTAAATACAATTTTTTTTTATTGGTAGTGTTATTATTTACCATATATATTTTAGTCTTAATGTTCTTGTTTTAATGATTAGTCTTAATTTGACTATGACTATGACTATTGACTATGTTACTTTTAATAGCCCTATCTTATTATAAAACATTTACATAAGATAATTTTTTATAGGCTATTAGATAAATGTCTATATATTACAATAAAATTTTGTAATAATTTTAAACCAAAGTTAAAGCTTGGATGATAAGATTTGAAGTTTGAGATAGGATTTCATCAACCACTGTTACTTAATGAATTAATAGTAGTTTTTCTTTTCATATAATTGCTACACCTAACACTATCTAACCCATTGGAGACTTTGGTATTTAGTTCAATAGCATAGCCTTTAGAATATAATACAAAATTGCTAATTTGAATTGTTTCAGTAAAAATTTGGCTTTTAACTTAAAAGAGGTGTTAGCCTGTCCCACGTACGGGAGTAGTCAGTTAAGACTGTGTATAATTCAGAACAGCTAGCTTACACGTATAAAGACAAATTTTATGGCAGCCTACAGTAGAAAGAGTAATTGATAATTGAGCAATTGAGAAGTGTATAGGCCTAGTCAATGATATCACCTTCCAATTCCATCGCATACCTGCCTCTTTCATAATCAATATCACCATAATACAATTACTCACACTATACACAATTTCCAGTAGGTCTGAATACAAACTCCCTAAAATAAAATGAAAACATCCAATAAAATTCACAGTACACATAATTATAACGTTGGGGTCCTGACATTAAACGAATCATACACACATATCCTTTATATCAATTTCACTGCATCAATTGATAAATAAATGAAAACAAAGAAAAGTAAAAACAACAACATATAGTTTGTTTTGTAAACAGCTGAGTTAATATTTTTTAAACTATAAAATATTCAGCGCCTCCAAACGTAACCACAACTAAACACACGCCAAACAACTTTTTAGATTTCATAAAAGGATGGTTAGTCTAATTGCAGTATCCTAGGTCAATGATAAGGTTGTGTTCAATCTATGTCATTCATCTGTATATCTTTGGATAAAACACGTCTGAGGTTGCGGTGGTAATTTAAAATCGTATTCTTGAGGATTCTTGATCTCCTTCTTTATGACATCAATATTTCCGGGCCTAATCCAAACAAAGCCTTAAACATTCAAAACATTGATTGTAAACAAAAAGCTACCAAGATGAATTAAAACATGTTAAAAATGGATTTTCCTACCCGTTCCTTAAAAATGTTGAGCAGTAAAATAATTTGCATATCCTTTTTTTAAGACTCGTGTACAGAGCCTCGACTAGTATACATCGATGGTGTTACTTATCTCGGTGGTCTAGTAATCTTACTTAGCCTATTTCCTATAATCAATGACAAAATCAGAGTAAATAAAATAACCTGATTAGTTCTATAGAGCATTTTTATATTTAACCAGCTGTTAGTTAAAACAAATTATATTGCACCAAAACAAACCGAAGATTACAAAGATTACTTTAAAAAACTATTTGAACATCCTAGTATTTTACTATGTATATTTAAATAATTTGTCATCCTCTTATTGAAGGATTGAACGTATCAATGATTAGCATTACACATAGTACAAATAAGTCAACCCTTAGTATGTCTTTTAAACTTATCCAAATGCTGAATTTGTGTTACAAACGCTGAATGTTTACAGCTGTTATGAAGCAAATTATACTATGCCAAACGCTAGTTTAGAATCTTGGCGTCGGCTGCTAGACTTTTCAAAAATTAAAAGTTAATTTCTAAATAACTGTGACCCTAAACTAAAATTATGGCTTCGGCATTCCATAGTTCTCAAAATTATCTTTCTTTCAACACAAAAATCATGAAAATCGGTCGAGTGGTTGATTCAGAATCGTGAAATAAAAAAACCCTGTTACGTTTTAATATTATAGATACTTAAAAGTTGTGTGTTAATTAATCTAAATTCAATTTCGTATTGTAATAAACATGTTTAAAGTAAAAAAAAAATACTAATAATTTTCAAAAAATCTTGCAAAAGAAATTTTTAATACTTTTTTTTAAGTAATGTCAAAAAATGTAGTATTAATATTTTTTTTTACTATTTCTTTTTGTATTCCCTTACTTTATTCAATTCCCTATATAAAAAATTGTTAATTTATAATTATATCTGCAATAGTGTATGTTTTACAGCTATTTATGTAAAACACTGTATTATCACCACTGCCGTTGTCCTATAGGCCTAGGCCTACGCCAGCACTGTCCGATTCGCCGTCACTTTCACTGTCATTTTCCCACAGAAGTCTGTCATTCTCACTCGAGAATATGCAATCAAATTAGTTTGTACTCCTCCAATTTATAAAACATAATAATAAATCTGTTACTTAGTTGTAATGACTTATTACCAGTTGTAATGACTTATTACCACTGAAAGTACGAACACAAACGTCTGAACATCAAGAACGTAAACAACCATATAACAATATCCCTTGTCAATGTCTGATATTACAGAGGGAATAAGAAAACGATTCCATTGTTAAATTGTAGACTTATAACAAATAAAATACAACAACTGTTACATAATACCTTCCATATAAATGTGGTAACAACTTTCAATGACTTTCAATTTGAAAACTTTTTGTTACTTGTTTTCTGCTTATTACTTTTAGTTTATTCTTAAATAATCATATGTTATTTAAACTAAAACTCTTTAGAAACATTACAATAAAAACATAAAACATCCGTGATAAGTCTCCAATGGGTTAAAATAAACAGTATCGGCACAACGAGATATACTTTAGCCAATTGTATTGTATGTTATTGTATTTAATGTTAGACATTAAATTTGAACTTCTTACTACTTTCATAAGCAAAAAAATTGAAACAATTATGCTTGTAACTGGAGGAGGTGACAGTGTGTGGTATTTGTGGAGAAAATCACAAACATTGCTACTACGTTTTGAGCGTAAGTGGCTGGATTTGATTGTTTGAGCTT